ATAAAACGGCCATTTTGTTGTACTGTTTCAATTCTGCAGGTGTATTTCACATATTTATGCTATATAACCTTTTGAACCTTGGAACATCATTTTATAGAAAATCTAAAATTAATATTAAAAGAAACCCAAATTATGAAATAGGCTGGTTTCATAATTGACCAATGATCATTTCACATGCCTTTCACGATGATTTTCCATTATAGCTATAAAGCAAATGATGTTTTTTATTCACCTAATTCATTTTAAAGTTTATTTAACAGCTTTAAAAAATTCGAAATTGAAATGGATAGTCTAGGGGACATACTGTATAAATGTACTCTACTGCATATAATTTGTGAACATTTACATGATTTATACACTATTAACTCCCTTTCAGGCTGAAAGGGACTGAAAAAATTCATACCGAGAGATTCACTAAATTCCCCTCTAATATATATTCTATTCTCTTTGCCTATAGATGATAACTACACCGCAGAAATACAATTAAGTATTGCAATCAATGGTGGGTAGTTCAGCTGCATAGCTCAAATTCAATAAATTCGGGTCCCTGGTTATGCATGAATGCAAAAGAAGATATTGTGCGAATATTTTCTCCTGTAACATTATATATTCCGAGGCAGGAATATATTCTTGATAGTTCTGCAAGCATTCAGGAAGATAATTGGAACATTACAGATAACTTACCAATTCTTTACACCAAATAAAATAGTTTATTCCTTTAGGGAGGTAATTTCTATTGACCCTCTCTTCAAATAGATACATGTCTGATTCACCAAAGTACTCTTTTAAAAACTAATGTAGCTGCGCAAAAATGATTAGGATACTATCGGTTTTTTTCAATTATATTTTACTCTTCTTCGGATGCATATTGCATGCTGAGTTTTGTTTTGTCTTCAGTTGATTTGTATCCATTATACTTTTAATTAGACAAGCGTAAGATTCATTGCTTTCTACGATTTATATTTTAATTAACAAAAACTTAAGTCTTTAAAAAAGAATGAAAAAATGTGTATGCCAGAATTATGAGAATTCACAAGTTCCGCATATAAGCTGGCAACATTCTATAACACTTTCTGGCAAAGACTTTTGTGGACACATCAAAGTGTTTCAAACATACATAAAACATTCAACCAAAGATATGTTACTACTTTATATATGGTTAGGTGATTTGCCAACCCTGAGACCTTGTAAATTTCTTACAACACTTTGATAGACAACACTTTTCTTGCTTCCTTGGGTTTATTGTTTCTCAAATACAGTATATAGCAGACAGGGTGCTACTAGATTAGCTCATTAAACAGAGAATTTTGATAATAACGTCGAAATATCTTTAATCACCAGCAATGTTTACAACAAATAAACAAAACAAAAACAATATTCACTATTGTTACTAAATTGCTTTCGTATTTTTAAGTTGTTGCAATTATCCACATCCATTTACTAGACCGGCTGGTGCTATTAAATGGAAATGTAGTACAAATACACTAGACCGGCTGGTGCTAGTAAATGGAAATGTAGCACAAATACACTAGACCGGCTGGTGCTAGTAAATGGAAATGTAGTACAAATACACTAGACCGGCTGGTGCTAGTAAATGGAAATGTAGTACAAATACACTAGACCGACTGGTGCTAGTAAATGGAAATGTACTACAAATGCACTAGACCGGTTGGTGCAAGTAAATGGAAATGTAGTACGATTACACTAGACCGGCTGGTGCTAGTAAATGGAAATGTAGTACACATACACTAGACTGGTAAATCCTTTTATTGATTTGGATCATGCAACGATTATACTCATGTGTTTCATGTTGAATGGAGCACCCTGCAAAAATATATTCAGCTAACATAGAAAAGATTTAGTTGAATAGCTAAAACAAACAACAAAAATAGTTGAACAAGTAATCTAGAGAAAATGAAATATAAACTTGAGTTGTGAGAACCATGAAGAAATCATCAGGGGTCTAATTCACATCTTAAATTCAACATAAAATTAAATTTATGTGTAAAGAGGGGATTATAAACCTTAGATAGTTGAACTCTTGAGACCCTGGTTGCCAACTTTTATGTTTCACTTTAACGGAAATTTATATTTTATGTACCTGTGTTCTAATGTCTATGGACTAGGGTAAAGACATTATCTGTTCTTTTATGAATTAGTTTTTTTGAGGGTTGGAATCAATATTATGCAGTGAACTTTTGAATTAATTAACTTAATTTCAGAAATAAAGAGTTTTCTTAATCCTCTCAACATGAGTTATCCATGACGAAATATTAATTTTTTGTTCTAATACATAATTCGGCTCATAGCTACAGATGTTGGAAAAATGTACTCTTTTTTTAGGCACGTCAAATATACATTGTTTAGAGGTCAAAAAAACATTGTTTGTAGGTCAAATGAACACTGTTTGTAGGTCAAATGAGCACTGTTTGTAGAACAAATGAACACTGTTTGTAGGTCAAATGAACACTGTTTATAGGTCAAATATACATTGTTTATAGGTCAAAAAAACATTGTTTGTATGTCAAATGAACACTGTTTGTATGTCAAATGAGCACTGTTTGTAGAACAAATGAACACTGTTTGTAGGTCAAATGAACACTGTTTGTAGGTAAAATGAACACTGTTTATAGGTCAAATGAACACTGTTTATAGGTAAAATAAACATTGCTTATAGGCCAAAAGAACATTGTTTCGGTTAGACGAATATTTTTGTGTGAAAAATTTCCATGGTTGAAGTAAACCGGAAGAGTGTAGTTCGCATAATAAACAACCAGAAATTAGATGACTTTGTTGAAATTCAATAGAAGCATGGGACAGATAACATTAAAAAATGCGAATTTTTTATGAAAGATGCGGCATAATATAATTTGTGTTGCAGTCCTGATTTTTATTTCATGAATTCTACAACTGTTTCGTAGACATCAAACTTTTAAATTGATTTACCTAAAGCTATTCATTTTTATGTTACACTTCAAACAAAGTTGAAATTTATTTCAGCTGTATATCATAGTTTTTGAATAATTTGAAGGAAACATAGATAAACCTATGTATATCATAGTTTTTGAATAATTTGAAGGAAACATAGATAAACCTATGATTTATTTCAGCTGTATATCATAGTTTTTGAATAATTTGAAGGAAACATAGATAAACCTATGATTTATTTCAGCTGTATATCATAGCTTTTGAATAATTTGAAGGAAACATAGATAAAATTATGATTTATTTTTTTAAGAATACCGACTTTTATACAAATAAAATACTTAGACAATAGAAACAATTTAATGATTTTCATTAACTATAAAGTTACTTACAACATAAAAGTGACCCTTCATTTAAAACGTTATAGGCCCATTTCCGAGATAAAACAGTACTTCAAACTTAATTCTATTGCAAAAATGGTCTGAAAATTAATTATTTTAAGTAAAAAAAAAACTTTTGGGCCCATGCTTCGGAGACTTAAAGATGGAAACGACGATTTTTTATCTTAAATAAAGGTCTTAAATAAGGTATTTAATCTGTTTAATGAAGGGTTGCATAAAATTACATTAACAGTCCCTTAAATATGCTGAACAATCAGATTTTTTATGAATATAGCATCATATTTTCTGGAATGTTTATATTTAACCTAAATATAATTATGTTTGCCTATAGTTAGAGAAAAAGGTCACCCTAATCAATATTCTAGCTCTAAATAATTCCCGGATACCAACTCTAATTATTTATTGATAATAACAACAAAACTTGGATATTTTTAGACATTAAACATTGAACACTTTGCAACAATAACAGAGACCAAAACTGTTGTGTCTTTAATCTGTTATTATAAGGATGAGCCAGTTTCTTTTTCTGTTCACAGCAAAATCTCATTTATGTTAGAGGCCATCGGGAAAATTGCTTTGAATTAGTTTCCCGATCAAAGATGTTAAACCCGGTCAGGTTTCCCGATAAAAGATGTTAAACCCAGTCAGGTTTCCCGATAAAAAAAAATGTGAAACCCGGGCAGGTTTCCCAATTAAAGATGTTAAACCCGGTCAGGTTTCCCGAGACAAGATCTTAAACCCGGTCAGCTTGAAAGTCTGTACTCGATTAAGTTCCTGAAGCCAAGAAAAATCTAAAGCAAAAGTTTTGCTTTCAGAATAAATTTTTAAGTTATTACCCTTGCTGAGAAAAGTACGACACTTTAAGAAATGCTATGAGCTTGCTATAGTTTTTGCAATATTGTATTGAAAACCTTTATTTGTTAAAAGAGATACTCAGGTGGAAGCATAGTGTATTAGAAGGGAAATGTATTTATCGGAAATATCGAAAGAATGTTAATATTTCTGTTGTTATAAATAAAACATTTCATATGAAAAAATAATGACTATTAAAAATGAATGCAAATTTTCAATCGTAGCTTTGATTTATGTCCATTAATTAGATTAATGAGTGATTGGTAGAAAAATAGATAAGTATAAAAGTAATTAAGGTTGAAAATCGAAGTTTAATAATTAAAAACTTCCTTTTACAGCAGTCAACCATATAGTAACTATGCTTCATACTTACCCTTTCCCTACATTTTCTCCTTGGAGGAATTCCTTTAATTTCAGTCATCTTCTCAAATATTTAACAAAATAGTTTTTATTCAGGAACCATCTTGGGATTGTGGTGTCCCCCCTGGCATGGGGGATTGTGAAACCCCGTCCCCCCCCCTATTTTGCATGGGGAATTGTGGAGTTCCATCCCCCTTGCATTCAGAAATTAAAGAGATAAATTAAAAAACTTGAGTTGATTAATGACCAAAAAAAGTTCGATAATCTAAATTTTACAGCGTAAATAAATAGTACAATATTGAAGTATTAATTCACCTATAGTTAAACTTATACTCGAATTCTTGAAACTAGAATTTATTAACCCTGGATTTCCGCAGAATGATTTTAACTTGTTATTATCCTACTATTACACTGTCAAAAATCCCACCAATCGGCCTCCCGTAATAATTGCTCGTACTTCAGGTTTGTGAGTTCTATGTCAGCATGTTTCAAGCATATGATCGGATATAGACAGATTATGCACAGGGTTGAAACTCTCAGGTAAATTTTGCTTAGTATTCCTTTATATCATCATTGGTTTACCCTCTAAATACAGTTACAATCATGTTAGATTAAAAGAAACAAGTACCATTAATTTACAATCTTAAAGCTTTCAAATATATCAGGGTAGAAAATTATTGAAAACGCCTTGGTTGCATTTCAAAATGTACTCTTAATTCGGCAAGCTTTTAAAGACAGGAACAGAGTTCTGGCCACAAACTCTGATTTTTTCATCCCTATATCTTTTTAACTCAATGTCGTAGACCTTTGATATTTCAAACAATAAATTCTATCAAATTATCTTAGTTTGAAATTTTATTTGGTTAAACATACTAAGGGACTAGAAAATTTGAGTTTGTGGCAAAGTCTCAATTTCCATGTTTTAAATTTTTAATCAAATGACCTTTTCCAAAAATCAGAGAATTCTTTAGCAAAATTGTGGACTTGTTTCAAAGATAGAAGCACTAGAACAACAAAGATATAGGAATTAGAAAATTCGAGTTTGTGACAAATACTCAAATTCATTATCAAAAATCACTCCGTCCCTCCCCCCCTCCAAATAAGGTTTCTTTTTTATTTTTGTGTTTTGGTAAGAGGGGAGGGGGTTACTATGAGAACGAGCTAGATCTTCCTCTAATTTTAATCTTGTTATCTTGTTATCTAGATGTGAGGTGTATGATGAGAGTAAACTAGATCATGAAGTGGGATTATATACCCCTGGTTTAAACCTTGTTATCTAGATGTGAGGCGTATGATGAGAATAAACTAGATCATGAAGTGGGAATATATACCCCTGGTTTAAACCTTGTTATCTAGATGTGAGGTGTATGATGAGAGTAAACTAGATCATGAAGTGGGAATATATACCCCTGGTTTAAACCTTGTTATCTAGATGTGAGGCGTATGATGAGAATAAACTAGATCATGAAGTTCAACTACTAGAACTTTGGAGACTTCTTCAACCTAATACAGATCTCGACAAGGTAAATTTCACGCTTAGATTTAATTTTGTAATTGAAAGAAATAAAGTTTAATAATGAGCGGTTGAAACAACTATATTCATAATTTTAATCTCCATAAGTAATTTCTGGGTTTAGTTAAATCAAGTGCTTACCAAAGAAATTAAGAGTTGGCAATTAATGAAAGCAGTACTAGTTGATCCAGTGTAAATCTATCAAACAGAAGAAGTAGTTGAACCGGTCAACACTTCCATGTTTACAATTCTCTTATTCCAAAATTAGCATCTCGGAAAACACAATTGAACTTTTTAAAAAGCAGAAATGGTGACCGTTTGCATCTTACAGTGTCTGGGGATTCCATGTTTTAAAAGATTTGATCACAACAATCAGTGCTTTCATCTTGATACTGATCTGGATCCGGATCCAACTTTTTAGAATTCTTATTTTAAAAGTTTTACTAGTTTGTCTTATTTTCCCTTAGTTTCTCTAGGTTTTAATTATATATCTAAAGTTGACAAAAAAAAACCTTTGTTTTGAGAGCTAGAATTTTTTTCAATGCTTTTGAATGACATTTTACATTCTGGATTCGGATCCGGATCTAGGGAGCTAACCATGGATCCGGATTCTAATTATTACTTCTATTTAGAGAGTGACTAAACAGTGGCAAGTTATAGGATTTCAAGGAGATGACCCTAAAACAGATTTTAGAGGAATGGGGATGCTTGGTCTTCAAAATCTGATGTAAGTTAAGGTTTTTTATTATAATTTTTTAATTATAATTTTTTTTAATAATTTTTTTATTCCAATAAACCATGTTGACTGGTTAATGTAAAGAGAATAGAATATATATTAGAGAGGAATTTAAGCAATCTCTCGTTATGAATTTTTTCAGCCCCTTTCGGCCTGAAAGGGAGTTCAAAGTGTATAAATCATGTAAATTTTCAAAATTTATATGCAGTAGAGTACATTAATACAGTATGTTCCCTTGACTATCCATTTCAATTTCGAATTTTTTAAAGCTGTTAAATAAACTTATAATGAATTAGGTGAACAAAAAACATCATTTTATTTATAGTTACAACGGAAAATCATCGTTTGTAAAGTGAAAGGCATAGAGTCTATGTGAAATGTTCATTGGTCAATTATGAAACCAGCCTATTTCATAATTTGATTTTCTTTTAATATTAATTTTAGATTTTCCAGGGCCCAAAAGGTTATTTAGCACAAATATGTGAAGTACACCTGCAGTGTGGAAACAGTACAACAAAATTACCGTTTTACACTTTTTTCTAGTAAATTCCCCTCTAATATATATATTCTATTCTCTTTGGGTTAATATTAATCTTGAAATCGGTTGTTGACGGAGAAATAGCTGATTATGTTGGGGTGTGCGCACTCCTGTGTGCCGAGTCCATTAGCGCCTGATCCAATCAGGGTTCAGTCATGTGTTTGGTGTCTATTCTGAACCAATAGAAATTTCATGGCGGTAACCTTTCTATCTAGCTCATTATCCAATTAGAGATAAATCCTTACATCGGCGCTGTAGCAGTAAATGGAAATATTTACTTCTACTGAAACTATGGTGATGGGGTATAGACAGCGTAGCTCCCCGCAAATATTTTTCGTGAAATCAAAATAGTCCTTTATTCAATAAGTCTTATTAAATGAACTTTTTACAGAAAAGTCCCAAGGTCGAGAATGCCATTTTTGAATGATTTAATAATTTGGAATGTTCTAGTTTTCGCTTGAAACCATTCAACTTCAGGACTTTACAGTGTACTTCCTCGTTGCTTTTCATAATTTTAGATATATTTAAACTATGGGAAAACTGTTCTAGTTGAAATAAATAACAACTGCTCTATTTTACTAGGAAAAATGAGAATTAACTTCTAACTCTAAATAGAAAACCATATTTTTCATTCTTTTCCCTAAAATACCACTTTGCTCCCCCCCCCCTTCCCTGACTTCTCATATGATACATATAATATTATAATTATAATACATTTGTATAATCTCTTCATGTAGTTCCAACACAAAAATAATTTTTTTATTTTTTGTAAGACTTTATTTTTTACAAGTAGAAAATGATAATAAGTTTATTCTCAATTCTGTTGAAGTAAAGTTGTAAGAAGTCTGTTTCAAAGTTTTCAATTATCCAATTGTCCCTATGAAGGGTTGTAGTAGTTCTAAGTATATTAATGCAGAGTGGGGGGGGTGGGGTAATGCAGTAGAATAAAAGTGTGCAAAATTCCTAGTTTAACAATCCACAGTTTCATGCATAGTTCCCTGCCCGGGAATTAGAGGAGGGGGGGGGGCAGGTTGCCCCCCCCCCCCCCTATAGCTTTGATGTTATCCTATTACACTAAATATCAAGGGGGCGGAAACGTCATGTGTATGTGTCCGTACCAAAAGAGTGTGCGTGTGTGATAAGGAACCGAAAGTTGTACTGTCTGTGTATTCAGTACAGAAAAATCTCGGTATTTGTACAGTCTAGGAGAGTACATTTGTTTTTTGCTAATTGTTTACTTAAAAATAAGTTTAATATACATGTAATTTAAGTCAACACTAACAGCCAAATTTTCACGCAAAGAATATAATTTGATTAAAGTTTACAATAACCTACTCGTTAAATCCAAGCTTAATTATAATTGACGACATTTTTCTGCACTTTCCTTGACTGTAGTCATGTTGTGTGTCTGTACCAAAAGAGTGTGCGTGTGTAATAAGGAACCTGTCTGAAAAGCAGTGAACCTGGCTTTCTCATGCCATGACCAGCGAAATTTCCCTTCCCTTTACTCTTATTTCCTGTAGATATCTCCTCATTTTGTTGCCCTGATAGATCTAAGATTATTTATAATAATTTTCAAATAAAATACATTAAGGTCCAAAAATCTGTGAAATAGAAAGACAGACTCAAGTTCTAATATTAAATAGTGCAATAAACATGAAACACAGACACATTTCACAAACTTTGATTTTCATTTACTTTTAGCTTTATAACAACATTTTATAAACATAAGATTGATTAAATGTTGTCGTCTTCCTATTCCACAGTCTTATGGGACCCACTTAAGTAATTTAACTACAGGGTGTCCCACGAAAGATGGCAGTAGCAAGATTAACTTAAAAACATTCCTTCAACTTTTAATTTATTTGTCACATTCAGTTATCAACCTACCTATGTATGATTTTTGAAACAATAACAATAAAATAATACTAGTCCTGGCATTTCCAAAATGTGGTCTGCCTTGTTTTCAATACTGCCGGAGAAATTAAGAATTTCGTTCAGATTTCAATTTTGTAAAATAAAACAAAAAGTGTCGAAATCTGATCGAAATTCTTCATATCTCGGGTAATATTAAAAGTACAAAAAAAGACAGACCCCATTTTGTAAATACTAGAGGACTGGTGATATTTTGTAAATATTAGAGGACTAGTGGTATTTTGTAAATAAGGACTAGTGATATTTTGTAAATACTAGGGGACTAGTGATATTTTGTAAATATTAGAGGACTAGTGATATTTTGTAAATACTAGAGGACTAGTGATATTTTGTAAATACTAGAGGACTAGTGGTATTTTGTAAATATTAGAGGACTAGTGATATTTTGTAAATATTGGAGGACTAGTGATATTTTGTAAATACTAGAGGACTAGTGATATTTTGTAAATATTAGAGGACTAGTGATATTTTGTAAATACTAGAGGACTAGTGATATTTTGTAAATATTAGAGGACTAGTGGTATTTTGTAAATATTAGAGGACTAGTGATATTTTGTAAATATTAGAGGACTAGTGATATTTTGTGATTTTTATCTCAAGAATTTTACTTTCTTAATAAGGTTGACAAATAAATGCAGAAAACTATATCTAAAATCAAAGACGACATTCAAGCTCCCGTCATGTTTCGTGGGACACCCTGTATATGTTTAAGGAAACCCTTTTTTAATTTGCATGAAGCCGTTAATATAATAAAAGTAAATAAGCATTTATATTTTGTAAATATAATAAAAGTAAATAAACACATATATTTTGTAAATATAATAAAAGTAAATAAACACATATATTTTGTAAATATAATAAAAGTAAATAAACACATATATTTTGTAAATATAATAAAAGTAAATAAACACATATATTTTGTAAATATAATAAAAGTAAATAAAGATATTTATTTTGTAAATTTAATAAAAGACAATCATTTTAAATCATAACTTAATATTGTGATGAGTAGTGAGTACATAGTATATGATATGATTTTTTTTAGATATTTTGCCCGAGAGTATAGTAGTGCAGCCAAACATATTCTATCACATTCCCATCACCCAAAATTCGGGTAAGCTTTATCATTTTTTATATTTTATAGGTTTTTTGGCCGTTTTTTTTAAGATTTGGAATTGCGATGATAAACTAAGTTTTGTGACGATTAAAATTTAAATATTCAAGTTAAAATATTAAATATTCTAGTTAAAAATTCCCTGATATTTTATTAACCTCCCCTGTTATCACGTGTGATTTGAAAAATCAAAAAACTCTAGATTTTTATTTAAAATTTTTTTATTTCAACAAACCTTGTTACAGAAAAGTATTTTTCAAATGTATCTCTGTCTGATGAGCTTCTATTAAATGTTTTTGAATACTGTTTTATAAATATAACTTTCATGGGTCCAAAAAAAGTTCAAACAAAGAGCAACGACAACGAAATGGAAACAAAATTGCTTTTGTGTTTAGATGTATGCAAAGTACCTCACAGTATTTTTTTATTCATAAAATACAAATTACTTAAAGTAAAGAAACAAATATAAATGTAGAAGTATAAGGTTGTATTGTAGTTTGTAAACAAGAGAATATAGGATTGTTAGAACTATGTAAATGAATAATACTAGAAACTTGAGCAAACAACATGGCATACTAGAGATATCGGTTGGAAAACAGGGGAGAATATGTTTCTCTAGATTAACCCAGTCAAAAATTTATTTTGAAAATATCAAGATATCCTTTTTTTACCAAGTCGATAATTACAAATTGTAAACCCAAGATGAGACTTTATTTAGTATAGTCATATTGTGTCTTTAAGTATGGACATAGCTAAGAATCCGCTGAAAATCGGATTTTCGTTGATTTTTTTTTTAAGAAAGAAAAGGTTACGTGAAGAAAATACAAAGTATTAATGGTTCACTGTACAGTGTACCCCTGTCAGGGTAAATATTGTCTTATCTAAGGAGAAAAGAGGCACAATACAGGTGTTGTAACGGAGGGAAAAGGGGGGTGGGGGGATACAGGTGTTGGAAAGGGAGGGGGGATACAGAAATTGATGGAAGGGGGGATACAGAAATAAATGGAAGGGGGATACAGAAATTGATGGAAGGGGGGATACAGAAATAAATGGAAGGGGGGATACAGAAATGGATGAAGGCGGGATACAGAAATTGATGGAAGGGGATACATAAATGGTTGAATGGGGGGATATAGAAATTGATGAAAGGGGGATACAGAAATGGATGGAAGAGATAATGCAGAAATGGATGAAAGGGGGGATACTGAAATGGATGAAAGGAGAGGGAGTCAAACAAATTGGAATAGGGGGGTGGGGTAAACAGGTGATGGAAAAGGGGGAAGAGGATACTGAAACTGAAAGTGAAATGGAAAGAGGATACTGAAATTGGAAGGGAATTGGAAAGAGAATACTGAAATTGAAAGTGAATTGGAAAGAGGATACTGGTTTTGAAAGGTATACTTATGGGCAAAAAAAATGGAAATTTTTGGGAAGTTCCCGCTTGGAAAATTGCACATTTTGGGTAGTTGCAACTTGGGAAATTGTTTCTTGGGAAGTTGCTTTCGGGAAAATACCTAACATCAAAATATGTATAGAGGCAAGAGTATGATAAAACTCATTAATAAGAAACTAGATTAAACAATTAAACTCATGTTTTTAACATATTACATTACTTGTAAACCAGGGTTACCAGTAGGAACTGGAACTGACAAATTGATTCTGATTTTTACCCTTGAAAGAATTAAATGTTAGTGTTATTGCTTAATTTTCTTTACGGCCTTCAAGCTTTAATTCTAAACCTCACAAATCTAAAAATAATATCCCCCTAGGAAGAATAGAGTTGAATGGATAAGATATATGCATAAAGTAAATGAAAATATCAATGTTTACACGAGAATACCATTAATACATAATACATTAACTTTTTCTAAAGTTTAGAGTTGTGCGAGTTTATATATAGTTTTCAACTCTCAAGCCGGGAATTTAGAAAATAGATACATTCATTCTAACGTTTTTATCTACCGTAAGAACCAGAAAACAATAGAATAGGAAGACGACATTATAGCAATACTTAAGTGTATTTGATGTTGTTACAAAGCAAATAGGTTTACTAGATACTAATCAAATTACTAATGATTTTTAATGGGTGTATTTTCACTGATAAATTGCCGTGTCTCACGTTCATTGGACCATTTGAAGTCATAACTGAAGTCTAAAAGTCGTCTTCATGTTCCAGAGTTTTCTGGTTCTCACTGTGTAGTTTTCTCAAATAATTTTTGACGTAGATAAATTGGTTATTTTAGATTTAATGGGACGGTTCATTCTTTGGGAATAAATTAGTTCGAACCTTTCATGCTAGTCATATTAAAAATTAATTTTTTTAATATTAAAAAATTAGAAACTGATATAGTGAAATTTGTAGGTCAAAAACAGGAGTAACTCTTGAAAATCACATGATTTTATCTAAATAAAAGATTTAAAATTTTAGGATTTGACCGCAAAATAATAAACCTATCTCATTACGCAATCAATGATAAACAATTTTGTTTTGAAATAACAGATTTCTAGAATTCTAATGAAGTTTAGATAACGTTTTTCTGCTTCAATTATGAGTATATTTTTTTGCTAAATATTCTATTGATCCACACACAGAGGAGAAGGGGGTGGGACAGTTCACAGAATTAATTTAATATTTATGCAATAGTTTTGTCAGAACTGTTAATTTTTATGAGTTTATTACCCCCTTAGTTAATGACTGCGGTATCAACTATTAAATCAAAAACTTTTTTCCCCCTCGTGCTTTTAGATTTAATACTTTATATTTGTTTTAAATATGGTAAATATTGTTTAACTCGAAACAAAACAATAAGTTCCACAAGAAATTTATTATATTTTTAATTCTGCAGTGAAGAGGAATCAATGTATAAATGTTTTTTTTCTCTCTTCATTTTCAGAATCATCATTTTGTGAACTTCTTTCGAGTTCCGTAAATGTGTCTCATTTTTTAATACATAAAATCCTTTAAATAAGTTGGAGTCTCTTAATTGAAAAATGTTTTTTAAATACAAATTTTTATCATTTTAAAAACATTATAAAGTCATCAACAAATTGATTTGATTCTTTAAATACTTTCACGGCTCTGATAACTTTTTCATAAAAAAAAATATAGCGACTGAAAACTTATAATTTTATTTTAGTTGTTATTTTGTTCAATGCACTAAAAATACTCTTATGGGGGTTATAAACAAGACTTTTAGATGATTTCTTTTTTTAAGAATCTAATATTTGATTTTTAAGCCTATTCACTGCCTTGCCAAGTGACACTCCTTCCACAAGGTAAGCCAAGAATGCATTTTTAGAGCCCTGAGAGTATTTTTAGATGTCTATCAATGTTACAGAGGTCCCCTAAAAGGTTATTAAACTTTAGAGGACTTCCATCGTAGCTTTTACTGGAATTGTTTTGTTGGATAGATGTCTATATTTACTCAACTATTATTTTTGTTTATAAACTTGACCTTGCATGCTTATTCCGGGGGAAATGTTATTACGCATTATTATTTTCTTTAAATATTCTTTTTCATCTTTTAGCACATTTTATACTTGCTATTTAATTACACAAATAGTACACGTGCATTAAATAATTAACATACCTACAGGGTGAGTCAAAAAAAGTGTGATTTGCGGCGCCTGGGGCTAAATTGTACCTTTTTTGTGCGCAAGTCTCCTTATTTTTCTTATTACAATTTTGCAAATTTTCTGTGATTCTGTGATTCAGTTTTTTTTTTTTATTTTAAATTTCGATAGAAACAATTTATATACACGTTATTGCTTTTCTTAACTTTTGATTTTGAGAGAAAAAAGGTTCGCGGATTTTTTTTGGGCCATTGGAGTACCCAAAAAAGTTACAATTTTACCCAAAAAAGTTACAATTTTTTTTTAAATATTGAAAAAACACCATACAGGAGAGTTGCACAAAAAAGGTACAATTTTTCACCAGGCCCCCCAAATTGCACTTTTTTTGACTCCCCCGGTACCTTAAATAAATAAACAATTATTTTTTTACCTTTAGTGACCCATCTTTTTTAATCCTTACATGTTTGAGCTGTGGATATATATATTATATGTATATAGGTTACACGAATCGGTCTTTCTCACTACTTTTTCGCAAAATATTTTTGTTCACAAAAGCTTAGAAAATCAAAAAAAAACTTCTAGTAAAACCTGGAAAAATTATTTTTAAGGGTAAGGGTTTCAAGAAAACAGTTAAATTCTATTCGCCCATCGATGTCCAGCAATAGAAAAATATGGTTGATAACTTAATTATCATTATTTTCCATTGTAAACTTGATAATTATCAAGGATAAAAAACATACAATAATATAAAGGCCCGTTGTGTAAAATCTTAGGAAATGTTGTCTGTACAATACAATACAGCATCTTTATTGAATATATATATATATCTTAATCTGGAAGTATGAGGATATCTAAACAAATGAGACTTTTCATATTAATTCAGACCTGCCCTTTGTATTTTCGGGGGACCGGATTTAATGAAACACGAGACATAGTTGAATCGGGTATACATGGTTCAACTACTTCACTTTAGCTTGAACCACTACTATTCATTAAATCTGATACCAGAATCATTCTTGAAATATCTTTAATTCTATTTGAAATATTTAATCTCCCATTCAACCTTTAATCTGTAATTTTATGCTTGTACATTAGTTAATACAAATAAATTAGTATTTGAAATTTTTATGATCAGGTTCTTTTTCTTATGTTTTGTTTATGTACACTGTGCAGGTTCTCTTTTTATATTCAGGTTCAGGTTCTCCTTATTCATGTTTATTTTTATTTTTATGTTCAGTTTCTCCTTGTTTATCTTGTTTATGTTTATGTTACTGTTAATGTTTATGTTCATGTTCAGGTTCAGGTTTTCCTTTTTATATTTACTAATATAGTCAAGTTTTCATTTTTCTATTTATAAATATGTTTAGGTTTCTTTCTATTTAAAAATATGTCCAGGTTTTCCTTTATTATTTACAAATATGTTCAGGTTTATGTCTAAATTCTCCTTTTTTGTTTATGTTCAGGTTCTCCTTGTTTATGTTTATGTTAATGTTCCGGTTCTCCTTATTTGTATTTATGTTTATGTTCNTATATCTTCTGTTTCAGCTATTCTATCATCTATATATCTTCTGTTTCAGCTATTCTATCATCTATATATCTTCTGTTTCAGCTATTCTATCATCTATATATCTTCTGTTTCAGCTATTCTATCATCTATATATCTTCTGTTTCAGCTATTCTATCATCTATATATCTTCTGTTTCAGCTATTCTATCATCTATATATCTTCTGTTTCAGCTATTCTATCATCTATATATCTTCTGTTTCAGCTATTCTATCATCTATATATCTTCTGTTTCAGCTATTCTATCATCTATATATCTTCTGTTTCAGCTATTCTATCATCTATATATCTTCTGTTTCAGCTATTCTATCATCTATATATCTTCTGTTTCAGCTATTCTATCATCTATATATCTTCTGTTTCAGCTATTCTATCATCTATATATCTTCTGTTTCAGCTATTCTATCATCTATATATCTTCTGTTTCAGCTATTCTATCATCTATATATCTTCTGTTTCAGCTATTCTATCATCTATATATCTTCTGTTTCAGCTATTCTATCATCTATATATCTTCTGTTTCAGCTATTCTATCATCTATATATCTTCTGTTTCAGCTATTCTATCATCTATATATCTTCTGTTTCAGCTATTCTATCATCTATATATCTTCTGTTTCAGCTATTCTATCATCTATATATCTTCTGTTTCAGCTATTCTATCATCTATATATCTTCTGTTTCAGCTATTCTATCATCTATATATCTTCTGTTTCAGCTATTCTATCATCTATATATCTTCTGTTTCAGCTATTCTATCATCTATATATCTTCTGTTTCAGCTATTCTATCATCTATATATCTTCTGTTTCAGCTACCTGTTTATTGAGTTTGATAAGTTTTGGCTTGAAATGGAACCTAGAGATATAATGGAGTTTAACAGGAAAAATATTTTATCAAAAAAAAATTTTTTTATTTAACATTTTTCCTCATTTGTATCGGTCAATTATTTTAAGATCAAAAACATTAAGAAATTTTGCCCTTCCCCCCCTCTTGAACTTTGAAGAAAAAAAATTATATTGAAAATATTCTAATATTAGAATTCGGGATTTATTTGAGAGTAACCTCCGATCTCAACTTGAAGATTCAAGAACTTGTTTTAAGCTCCAGCTGTATATTGATACAGTGTGAATAGTGATACAGAGAAACCACATCATCTGAAGGGTGCAATGAACTAAGTGGATGATTAACAGTTTCGCGGTTTTTCCGTTGAACATTTACTGGATTTTAGGAAATATTACTGAAATATCATTCAGAGCCAAGAGTATATAGTTCGCTTCTAGGTCTGTCCCAGTCTTAAAAAAGTAGATTTGTATTCACCTTTTTTCAGTTCTTATGCAGATGTTATGTGAAATGATAATTTATAATTTTTTGCTTTATTTTTGTAAATATGAAATTTATGGATTTTCGCCACTCTTTACCAATTTTAGCAAGAAAAAATGAGTTTATGTAATTGAATGAAAAATTTAATGATTAACCAACCAATGTGATAAAACTCGTCAAAATATTTTTCAAAATCGTGCAGTCGTTCTATTCCCCGATTTCTGGCATTCAATGGTGTCTTAATTTTTCTTTTAACTCGTAGAAATAAAAGACGAATCACATACTGTGCTACGAACACATGGCATTACACTCTTTAAACTATACACTGTACACTGTACACTGTACACTGTACAGTACACTACACAAGGTATAACTCCATTCACAACAATTCATGTACATTGTACATATAATTAGTTTAACGCTGTACAGTTCTTAAAATAGCCAAACATTTTTATTTATAGTAAATTAAACATTAATAAAACTGTATAACAAACGGTAAATCGTAGCTTAAATGACTACATCAAACGTTTCTTTAAAGTCTTTAGGATTTATTTAAACTTTATTAAGCAGCATTTAGCAGTTGCACCCTAAGGACTTCATATTAGGTTTACCAAATTGTGACCTATAGGAGGTACTAATTAATTCCTTTACTATCTTGTTATTAAAATAACATTGAAGGAACTACATTAAATGGCTCAAAGTTTAAAACAAATTTTCAGTTAAAATAGTTACTGATTGATTACATTTTATAAGCTTATAGGACTTGGTAGGTATTAGGTAATGTAATGTATTTGATTAAGAAATGTGAAAAAAGAAAGGGTTTTAAAACTGTCGAAAATATATATTATGGTCTTCAGATAGTTTTTATTTGTACAGTGTACAAGTCAGCTGATATCAAATATGATGAAATATGTGTTGGCTCGAGTTAGAAATTAAAGTGCTAAAGGGATTGCTGACCAATTATTTTAAAATACACATGATTAGTGGTATTTATTGTTTTAACTTTTTTACTAAACTTTTTTACGCTTCAAAACTGAAAAAACGAATCAAATAACATTATTTTTGGTTCTTTTTTTCCACATAGTTTCTCCCGGGGTCAAAATTTTCGTAGTGAAAGAAAAAGAAATGTTTTGAACAATCATTTATGCGCGTTTATTACACTAGGCTAGATTTTGACATCAATTATGAACAATCCCTTTATTCACAATTCAGTAAGGTTGGGGCAAAGAATTATATTAAATAATGTTTTTGTTTTGTTCTGTAATTGTTAAAGATTATTCATCATGAAGATGTAATTTCTTCAAATAGATAAAATATCGCAACTATAGCCGATTTACCAAGATATCAAAGATATAGCTTATTTTTTAATGAATTTTGAAGAAAAACTTAATAAATCAAAAACTATTCTCGTTTTTCAAACATCTATAAAATACACCTCCTTTCATTCTTGAATTGTAAACAAAAGTATAAATGATAAATAATAGATGCAGGGTGTTCCAAAAACATGGGAAATGAATGAATACCTCGTGATCGTCATTGTTAAGAATAAGTTTTGTAATGATAAATTTTAAAAACTTATCATAATACTAAACCAAAAGTCTTTTACAAAGATGATCTCTGACTATATTAAGTCTCATGTTTATTGGAAGATCGTGTAGATTGTAATGTTAACTACAGGGAGATCCATAAATCTGTGGAATGGGAAGATGACATTTAAGCAATCTTATGTGTATTTGATATTGTTCTGAGGCAAATAGTTTTACCAGTAGAAAATCAGCTTATTAAGACCGATCGGTTGCAGTGTTTATTGATCATTGGACTAATTAAAACCGTAACAGTCGTCTTTCTGTTCCATAGTCTTTTAGTCTTTTGGGTCCCACTGTATCCTGTCTCTGTATCAGTTTAGTATATTATGAGTGCCTATCAGTCAAATTTATATATTTTTACTAATCAGTAATCAGCTGTTAATAAATGCTTTTTATCTTGTTCTATGTTTTAATTAAAGAAGTAAAGCTTATTTTAATGTGAGTTCATAGATGCAGAGAGGGTAAATGATTACGCCCCGGCTAGAATGTACAATTTCTGAGTGCAAAAACCATACCTCATACCGCACGGGCAGCCGTAGTACACTTGAATTTCCGAGCCGGGTCATCCTTTCCGGTCCCAGTTTGTACTGTATCGCCCGGACATTGGTTAAATGAAGCAGACACTCAATAGGACTAGCCGGTTGACGCACCAAGACTTTAGGTTGAATTTACTTTTACCACATAATCATTCAACGGCCATTGAGAAAGAATAAGAAGTCATTATTATACAAAAAAAAGTAATATCATATTGCTTCAATAGTAATTATTTCTCTTTGTGTCATTCAATGCCTCTTGTCCAAAATCAATTTTGTTTTGTATTGTCATCATATTTTAAATTGGCCCTTGACTGAAAGAGTGCTGAGATATACTAATTTATTAAACCTACCAAAACGACAAGGGGCGCAGTGTCCTCGGTGTTCTACTAAACATCATATTTTGTGATTGTGTTGTTTTCTTCATTATTTGAGAGTTGTGCGATTTTTAAAAAAGATATCAAGAATATTACAAATGTTGCGTAGTGATTGGACATATAGATAGCTTGGTCCGTGTTTGGTTATTATTTTAAGGTTTTTAGACTTATAAAAGGCACAACGCAAAAACTTTCCACTTCCAAATTTCAAAACTTTATTCTCTTGAAATTTGATTTTATTAAATTTTGTGATATTTTTAGTTTTTGAGGATAAGAAAGGCTTTTGAGATTTTTGGACAAAGTTATATTTTATGACTGCTGTATGTGTATAAATTATAAAATATTAAATAATGAAAATTTTTGGTATTTTGTTGTGTATTTTTAGACATTCTCATGTTAGGCATGACAACAACAAACATAGATTAGATTACACAATTTGATGAGTCAACACGAGCAATCTTAATTTAACGACATAGGCCTCTATTTACTAACAATTATTATGTTTAGTAAAGTACATTGTACATTATTATTTCAATTATTGTATTAAATCATTGAATTGACAGTTTTGCAAGTATTTTGTCCAGTTTGTCCTCTAATCCCTGCATCTTGTCCTCTATCCTCTCCATCCTGTCCTCTAGAACCTTGTCCTCCGTCCTAGTATTCTTCCGTAGTATAATCTCCTTGGCTGAGGATATTATATCTCGTCCCATCTCATCAGTACTAACAAAAATAATCATCAAAGGGACTGTTCTCTTAATTTCAAATAATCATTCCAAGTATGAAATGGCAGGTCCGAGCTACGACGGCACTCTTCAGAGCTTTGTATGATTTAAAATGAATGAAGTATCCGGCCACATCTACACGTTTAAATTTGGTTATTTTCCAAATTGGATTCTTTATATAAGAGACATCGCATTTTTACTACAGAAACATCGGAGGAAATTGTTTTGCAGCTCTATAACTTCTCTTAAGATAAAGATATTGATAAGTTAAAAAAGCAAACTGTAACAGAATACAGCTACGAAATGCTTGATCCAAGTTATGTCCCATCATGTATATAGTCATGTGACCACAACCCATTCCCTATAATCAATTATATTTTTCAGAAATAATTGACTTGGTTTTTTAATTGTGTTTTATTAAATTATCGCCATTACCTTAAACCTCTGCAGCATGTTTTGTTTATTTGGTTTGGTTTGATTGTAATCTGTTTATTCTCTAGATATCGGTAGAAAAGAAGAATTTCAGAACTTCCGATCTTTTTGAAAAGATCGCCGAGGGTTCGATTCCTAAATATTAATTTTATTGTATTACTAATCAGAAAGACCCGGAATTAATTTACTATTAATTCGATTTTACACATATATACAGTGACGGTACTAGCACTTTTGTGAGGGGGGGGGCAAAATTTGAAATTTTTTTCTAAAAGTAAGCGTTGTTTTCAGGATTTTAAGTAAAAAACAGCATTTTTTAATTGTTGAAGGATTGACTCTGTGCTCAATAATATACAAAATTCTCATAATATTGATTACTTGTTTTTGTGTTTAAAAAATAAAACTTCCAACAGCTTTTAAATGATTGACATAGTAAATTGATTTAAAATGTGCGCGAAGCGCCAAAAGAAATTCTGTTCTTCTAGTGTCTTTTCATGTATTTCTTAGTGTCTGTTAGTCCCTGCTTAGTCATCTGGATATTAAGTCCCTTATTACAGTCTACAACAGTTTTTGTAATTCATCAACTTGTCATATTTTTCCATTGTATAGTCCTTTAATCGTAGGTCTGTGCAGTCCTAACCCCTAAGAAGTACTCGACTATCTTTCATCTGTCCAATAACCATAATACTAATAGTCTTTCTGATCGAAGTCCCTCTGCCCTTGTCCTTGTCTCTGTTTTTCTCTTAAAGTCTGCAAAAGTCCTAATAGTCCGATATAATCCTTAAAATATTTCTTGTTTTTCTTCTAAGGTTGTCAGGTTCTGTGAGATTTTGAGATGATAAATTAAGAATGACTGACTTTTTTGAAGTCAAAAACGAGAAAACAGTTAGAAATTCGATTGGATTTAATGCGCGAAGCGCCCAAGAAAAATTTTGGTATGTTTTTAATTGGCAAAATTTGATCAAAGATGGTCCACAATCATGATCATGCTGGAGTCAAGGGGGGGTGGGCGAAACTTGGTTCGCTCCCCTCTAAGTTGCACAATTAAATATATATGTAAAAAAGTATAGGGGATTTAGATTTATATATATATATATATATATATATATATACATGTATACCTGTATAATTGACGAAGAAGGGAGCATGATGGTATTCTTGAAACCATCTCTGGAACATTGGACAAAAAATCGAATGGATCTCCCAGCAGCATGGACTCCAGGGTTGAGATGGTTTCAACTTTAGATCTAAAGATGATGAATATGACAAATTTTAAACTATCGTCGATGTCCAAAGAGAGTTTTAATTTTTGATCAACAAATGCGCAGTAGATGGTATTAGTTAAATTAGATTGTTTATTGAGTTTTAATATTTAATCAACAACTGCGCAGTAGATGGCATTAGATAAATTAGATTGTTTATTGAGTTGAGTAAACGAGGTGATCATTTTAATGTATTTGTTAGATTGTGAGAAAGTGTTATTAATAGACATCTGACATTATGTGAGCTACACTCCCCCCATATTCTTTCAACGTTTGGTGGGGGGTGGGGGGGGGTTGTATCCAAGGGCATTGAAACTTTTAAAATTTTTTGATCGAATCATGATTTTCCAGCTACTGGTAAAATTGTTTGCTCGATATATTAAACATCAAATGCATATAAAATTTGCTTAAATGTCGTCTTATTATTGCACAGTTTAATGGGTCCCCCTGTACCTGTATGAAAATATCTCCGCCTTCTCCCTGATGATCCCGGTATCACTGACCGCCAACCCGTTGAGCAGGTTCATCAGGACAACCACCATCAGGAAGATGAAACTCAAGAAGAAGATGTAAGAGAGGGGGGCCAAGGGAGAATCCAAATCAAACGGCAGGTCACTATAAACAAATTTTGACAGATTAAAACAAAAAAGTGTAAATTTTCCTAATTTTGAACCAAGTGTTGTAGTAAAGGACCATATAGGGGCCGGGTATATGATTAGTGCAAAATCTGATACTTCTAGGGAGGTTTCAGGCTCCATTGGTTGCTGAGCCCTCCACCCTTGAAAGAAAAACAGTCTGCCTTTTTTGTTCCATATTTCATCTATATATAAATTTGGCTTGTCTGTCTGTTTGTCTGTTTGTTTGTATCCAATAAACGTCAAAACGGCTGAACCGATCGGGTCCAAATTCTTTGTGTGACCTCACGTGACCACAAGGAAGGTTTATAAATGATCAAAAAAAATGTGTTTTAAAGGTTTTTAATTTTTGTAAAAAAAAATTAAATTCTTGAAAATCCGCGAATTTTTTTTAAAAATCCGCAAAAAATTTGTCTTCTTTGTTTTAAAATGTAAACAAAAAGAACATGTTCACAATTTAAATAGAAGAAGCCTAGTTTTAAAAATTCGAAGACGATCTTGATCATTTAGGAAAACAGCCTTTAGGAAACATAGTGTCGAGTCTTTGCGTGATTTGCCAATAGGAATTAAGAAAGAAGGATTACTACCTAAACTCTAATTCTCCGACGAACATGGTTGAAGTCTTCACAAGAGAAAGCCAGGTTTGATTAAAGAACGGGTAAGGATCATCTTCAGGCTGAACAAAACAATAAAATATCTTGTTAAGTCTAAATATATAGTGAATGTACTTCCTGTATCCCCCCTGTATCCTGATATAGTATACTTCTACCTCCTGTATCCCCGCTGTATTCTGATAAAGTATACTTCTACCTCCTGTATCCCCCGTATCCTCATATAGTATACTTCTACCTCATGTATCCCCCCTGTATCCAGGTATAGTATACACCTTCCTCCTGTATCCCCCCTGTATCCAGGTATAGTATACACCTACCTCCTGTATCCCCCTGTATCCAAGTATAGTATACACCTACCTCCTGTATCCCTTCTGTATCCTGATATAGTATAAACCTACCTCCTGTATCACCCCTGTATCCTGATGTAGTATGATGTAGAATCCGAATCCGAAGTAGTAGTATACTTCTACCTCCTGTATCCCCCTGTATCCTGGTATAGTATACACCTACCTCCTGTATTCCCCCTGTATCCAGGTATAGTATACACCTACCTCCTGTATCCACCCTGTATCCAGGTATAGTATACACCTAACTCATGTATCCCCCCTGTATCCAGGTATAGTATAAACCTACCTCCTGTATCTCCCCTGTATTCTGGTATAGTATACACCTACCTCCTGTATCTCCCCTGTATTCTGGTATAGTATACACCTACCTCCTTTATCCCCCCAATATCCTTATATAGTATACACCTTCCTCATGTATCCCCCCTGTATCCAGGTATAGTATACACCTACCTCCTGTATCCCCCCTGTATCCAGGTATAGTATACACCTACCTCCTGTATCCCCCTGTATCCAGGTATAGTATACACCTTCCTCCTGTATCCCCCCTGTATCCAGGTATAGTATACACCTACCTCCTGTATCCCCCCAGTATCCTGATATAGTATACACCTTCCTCCTGTATCCCCCCTGTATCCAGGTATAGTATACACCTACCTCCTGTATCCCCCCAGTATCCTGATGTAGTATACACCTACCTGCTGTATCCCCTCTGTATCCAGGTATAGTATACACCTACCTCCTGTATCCCCCCTTTATCCAGGTATAGTATACGCCTACCTCCTGTATCCCTTCTGTATCCTGGTATAGTATAAACCTACCTCCTGTATCACCCCTGTATCCTGATGTAGTATGATGTAGAATCCGAATCCGAAAGCCACGATAAATAATGAATACCAGGCAAGAAACCAAAAGAACGTTCTTAAAACCTGAAGAAAAATATGAATATATATACTATATAGTACAGAGTTCAGACACATACTGCAGTCCAACTTCAGGGGACAGTAAACCTCAAGTGATCCTTAAATTTTAATGCAAAGATGGCAATGTCCATGCCCGTTCATAACCTTTATCTAATCTTTAATGGGGAAGATATTGTCGTTTTTCTAGGTTTTAAATAGTTTAATTTTGATAATTCCTATAATTCCTGCAGTAGAAATGCGCTACTAAAAAGCAAAAGTAAGTTAATGTGATACAATCGAAGTTCAAGGCTTTGCAACACTTTAAAGTTGGCCCAGTCTCAAAAATTGTTGCTTACCTTAAAAAATATTGTAACATAAATATTACAATGCTTGAGTTTAGGATGTACTCCAACTAACACGATTAGTTCCCCCCAGGACAGCAGTAATACAATAGCAGCTAGATGACGGTTCAGCTCAAACCTTTCTCCATCCTAATAATTACAGATTAAACCTTCCTCCTTCCTGATAATTACAGATTAAACCTTCCTCCTTCCTGATTATTACAGATTAAACCTTCCTTCATCCTGATAATTAAAGTTTAAACCTTCCTTCATCCTGACAATTGCGATTAAACCTTCCACCATCCAGTATATTACAGATTAAACCTTCCTCCTTCCTGACAATTACGATTAAACCTTCCTCCATCCAGATAATGACAGATTAAACCATCCTCCCTCTTGATAATTACAATTTATCTTACTTTATCCTGATAATTGCAGATTAAACCTTCCTCCATGCTGATAATTACATTAAACCTTCCTTCCTCATGATATTTACAGATTAAACCTTTCCTCATCCTGACAATTACAGATTAAACCTTCCTCCATGCTGATAATTACATTAAACCTTCCTTCCTCATGATATTTACAGATTAAACCTTTCCTCATCCTGATAATTACAGATTAAACTTTCCTCCATCATGATTATTACATATTACACTTTCTTTCCTCCTGTTAATTTTAGATTAAACCTTCTTTCCTCCTGATAATTACAGATTAAATCTTCCTTCATCCTACTATTTACAGATTAAACCTTCTTTCCTCATGATAATTACAGATTAAACCTTCCTCCCTCCTATTATTTACAGATTAAACCTTCTTTCCTCCTGATAATTACAGATTAAACCTTCCTTCATCCTACTATTTACAGATTAAACCTTCTTTCCTGATGATAATTACAGATTAAACCTTCCTCCCTCCTGATATTAAAATATTAAACCTTCCTTCTTTCTAATATTTACAAATATAAAGAATATAAAATGACCTTATCTGTGATTAGAACGATGGTTAACGAGATAATACAGATCTCAACGATATTCTCAATACTGAAAATGTATCGCTTAAACGATACTGTCGTTTGTAGCAGCTCTCTAAAATAAAATAATGTAAAAATAGAGGCGTCGCAATGGCGAAAAGTTCTTCAAATAACCAGGAATTAGATCAAATTTAATTGAATGTTTGTGAAATGTAATGACAAATGTAATTTTTTTCGTTTATGCTAATTTTTAATAATTCTTTATTTTGTCTTTATTTTCAAAGAAAAAAAAGTTTGAATTAAAAGTTTAACCTGAGAATGAGTAGAATAAGAAGAATGATAAGACATGTTTCAAGAATGGCACTCCCAAATATCAGAATAAAACACATGAAAATAATCATCAGTACCTGAAATGAAATAAAAATTTAATTTAAGAAAATAACTTGATTTCATTTGGGGTTTTGTTCGCTGAATTAAAGAAAATAGATGAATTTTGTGGTAAAAAGTATCAAAGAATTGGTTAAAAAAAACCCTTTTCTTATGCTGTCCAATTTTCAAATTTTCCCACAAAATATTGATATTTCAAATTTTGTATTCTTCTTGATTAAATTGAAAAATCTTGAAAATCAAAGATTTACACGATCAGAAGTGGGAACCCTTGTCTTGTGGATTACGAGATCAATAAATGATCTCGTTCTTTTGTTAATCTGCAGATTTATTTAATCTTAATTCGTTATTCCGCATCGTATTCTTACCTAGTCAGGGGTTGAACAGAGCTTTGATCAGGGGAGGAATAACTTAAATGAAGAGATGGAAAAGTAAAGTTTTTATAGATCCTCAAATTAAAAGAGCCCACAGTGGATATCAAGATCAAGCGATCGAGATTACGAGTATCCATTACAAAAGTTTTCAGCTCAGATTGCAAAGATATAGGAATTATATAATTAGGTTTCTCTCTTACCTCAATCATGTTTCCCAGCAGTGTTCTGAGAACTCTGACTCCAGTTCCACTAGAATCTTCTAGATAAACACAATCAAATATTTTTCTTTAAAGGGACTGTATACGAAATTCAAGTAAACTTTTTACACACACGATTGATAGCGGTCCCTTTAAACGTTTGCCTGATACAAGGAACACGGTTTTAAAGCAACATCCAACATGTAAAATTTTTGCGTCCAAAAGTTCTTCTGAAAGATATTTTTGTAAAAACTTATGAACATTTAAAGTGAGTAATTAAATTCGATATTCTTTATGATTATTTGCAATTCTAATTTCAGTAATTTTATTTTGTAATATCTGTGATTTAAAGCCAAACACGATCAAAGAACAAACTTTTTGAACAAAAAAAACTTCCAACTGAATTTTTTCATCAAAAATTTGATAGTTTTCTTAATTGAGGTTTTAAACATCAATAATTTCTAATTTATTAAAAACTTCAATATTCAGTAATTGTATTTTTAAAATCTTTAATTTCAGGAAAAAACAAGCTTACGGAAAACCTAATTATTCATTAAAAGTCCATGAATGAATATTTATAAGACAGAAGAATGTTAATTTATACAGAGAGCAATAACCGATGTTTTTATAAAAAGCGGCCTTCCAATTAAAATCTACTAAAGTTAAAATCTAAAGGGTTTTGTTTCGAGATGCTAGATGGGTCGATCTACCGAACAATCCAGAGATGCTAGATGGGTCGATCTACCGAACAATCCAGAGATGCTAGATGGGTCGATCTACCGAACAATCCAGAGATGATTTCAAGGATGCACATAGCTAGGAAGGCTGAAGCGACTAATTAAGTAATTACCCCACAGGAAATTCTGCGTCGTAGCATTTTTTGAAGTGTTTCCCGTTATAAATATGAATATGAATTTTTATATTTGAAAATTATCATTTAGATGAAGGAATTGCGGCAAAAGAAACTCGCGGTTTACTCTGCAGAGACAAGGAAGACAATTGTGAGAACTTTACACTTTTATAGATAGATAAAAGACGATATCTTACTCATTGTTACTCAGATAGAGGATAACAGGGTATTTTCTACCCTTGTTTTCTAAATGTATTTTTACTTACCTTTTCTTTACCTAATTTTCTTTACCTCAAATTTCAATCAGATTTTCTACTTTTACTGATTCTTACTTGAATTCAGTCCAAAAGAATGTCTTTCCCACAAACTCAGATGTTCTAATTCCTATATCTTTTACAACCTGATGGTGTAAACCATTGATATTTCTAACTGTGATGATCTAATAGAATTCATAGTTTTACATATCTAAAGTTTGCAACATTGGGTTACAAAGATATAAAATTTTATACAGTCAGAGTTTGCGGCAAAAACTCAATTTCGTTAAAAATCATTTTTGCTTTATTTCCTTTTTTTTCAGGACAAGTTTTATGATTAGGCAAAGAAAGAAACAGGTTTACTATAGCTGGGAATCATAAATATAAGGAATTAGGAAGTATAAATTCTGTAGAATCGTCTCCGAAGTCTCATACTTTGTGTAGAACCCTGTATGAATTCGTCATGTGAAGACAATAATGAAGAAATAAAATTAATTACATGTAAAAATGTATGAACAAAAATGTGATAATCAAGATGAATATTATGTATAAAAGTATTATTAATGAAAAAATGAATATATCTGATTCCTGATAATGAAGACGACAATGAGAATGAAGAGTCCAATGAAGGCTAGATACCAAGTCAGATCTATTCTTCTAGAACTGAAACAAAATTTATAAAACACTACGCTTTAAGGGCGCTTCGCGCCCATCTTCTATTTAAATTGTGAACATGTTCATTTTGTTTACATTTTAAAACAAAGAAGAAAAAAATTTTGCGGATTTAAAAAAAAAAATTTGCGGATTTTCAAGAATTTAAATTTTTTACAAAATTAAAAACCTTTAAACCACATTTTTTAAAATTTTTATCATTCATAAACCTTCCCTGGGGTCACGTGATGTCCCACAAAAAAATTGGGCCTGATCGGTTTAGCCGTTTTGACGTTTATTGGATACAAACAAACAGACAGACAAACAAGCCAAATTTTTATAAAGATTAAGAATCGTCCTCGTGGATTTAACTAAGACCAGTAACAATCTATTAATAATGCTGACTATTTTAACTACTTAGGGCTTGATGTGTTAAATTTCAATCACGTTTTATAATTCAACCATCTTTAAAAGTCGAATTTTGTTAGAAGCAAATTTTTAAAAATTCGATTTTCCATAAACCTTCCCTTGGATCATGCGAGGTCTCACAAATAATGTGGGCGCAATCGGTTCAGCCGTTTTGGCGTTTATTGGATACAACCAAACAGACAAACAAACAGACAGACAAAGTATATATATATAGATTTACAGGGTTACCCACAAAGGAAGAGACTAATGACGACCTAAAACTCTTTAAGTATGACAATCAAAAGTTAAATAAATTTTTAAACGTAGCCTTTTCACAGCATTGTTAATAATTCAGAAAAAAAAGAAACAACTTTAAGTTTCAGAAAATCATAAATAGTAGAAACCAGACATTATAATTTCTGTAAAGTCGTCTCTGAAGTCTCATCTTTTTCATTATTATTAGTACCTGAGATTTCTATTAAAGTATGTACGCAGTCTACCCCACTTGTACCAGAGGAAACTTGTTATTACAGGATGCTTCAGTAGAAACCTAAAACAAACAACATTACTTCAAGTCCTCTTTGCTCCTTTATCAACATCAAAGTTTTACATTTTACGTACTGTAGTGGTGTACCTGTGTTCTTTACTCCTGCTCATGTACCATAATGGTTCAGTTTCAGGTAGAGCTGCTCTTCTCTCCCCAATATCTTTAAATATTTAAATTATATTATTGCAACCTGATGAAGTAAACCTTTGATATTTCAAGTTTTAACTACTTGAGCAGATATCATAGTTTAAAATATCAAAAGTCTACGTCATTGAGAATAGAAAAATATGAGAATAAACTCCTCTGACTTTCATCTTCTGAACAAAGGATCAGTTTTAAAATTCTACTATACAGAAAAAAAGATTCTTTGAGTTTTTCTTTGGCGTTTTAATGTAATATGAGATCCTCGCGCTCAGTATTTACCTTTGTCAATGATAAGGTTTTCCTTTGCGTCCTCGAGATTACGACCTCGAAACTTCTCAGGCAGGGCATCCTCGTTGGGTGCCAGGAAATCATATCTACATATATAAAATAGTAATCTCTGTTTATCCGCTTGTTTAATTCCATGTCTGATCATCATAACTATAGAACCCCTTGACCAATAAGTCTCAAATTTTAATTGGAGAGCTCGGGAGAACCACGGGAATATTCTTAACTTGGTTTTGAAATTCTAGGTTTAGTGGGTCGACTGGAAAAATAACTAAAATTGTAATTTGAGACCAAGAACGGGTAAACGGCGGGAGTAACTATGAGTTACCTGGGCAACGCTGGGTTCCCGAGCTATTATCTCCATAAAACAAAAGGAACAGATAAAAAATCGTAGAAATTTTACATTGCTCTCTATTAAACGACGAATACTATAAAATGTTGTGTTCCCCCTTGAAGAATATTCAACAAAGGAATTGAGTTTTTGCCGCAAACTCTGAATTTCTAATTCCTAAATCTTTGCAACTCAATATCGTGATCTTAGATATTTCAAACTATGTTGGATCAAATAGTTTAAATGAAATATAAAAGGTTTACACCATCAGGTTGCAAAGATATAAGGATAAGAAAATTTGAATTTGTGGCAAAGACTCATTTTATTTCTAGGGGAATGGGGGGGGGGCAATTTTTGCAATATTTTCCCCTTCCCCTCCCCTCAATTAAATCCTGAATACTCACTATTGTGAATCATTGTATGGTCACCAAAAAAAAAAGAAATACAATGACCTGAATGTGATTTGAAAGTTCTCTTGCACAATATCTCCTGAACTAGTTAAACAGAAATCATCTAGAAACTGTTCCATTGTGTCAGGACGTATCCTTCATAACAAAATGAATATTTCTAGTTAATATTTTAAAACCCTAATTTAGAACGTTTACCAAACCAAAAAATAGCTTGTGGTCCAACCAGAAGCAGAAACTCTTGTATTGTGATCTCAATCTTTTGTTAATCTGCAGATTAAATTTATATTTATTTGATATCCGCAATGGTACTTTGAAGGGATAACTGAAATGAAGAGAACCCATTGATCCCAAAATTATCCCACACGTGGATATCGAGATCAAGTGAATGGGATTATTTTATTATTATTATTTATTATCTATTTATTATATTATTTATTCACTTTGCCTTGATATAGGTAGTTCCCCCCACTCGTTCTTCATACCAATATTAGCTCCTAACTCAAGTAACTCCCTGTATAAAGTTCATAAATTTAATATCAAAGAATTAGATATCAAACGAAATTATAATTTAAAATATTTCACTCTCAAAGGGGGCGCACTGATCGCTTTGGTGTCCGTTGTTAAACACGTACACCGTAGTTTGGATATAAGAAAATATCTACAAGAATTGAACAGAAAGATAGATAGACAGATAGATATTGGTCCTGGACAAGGGTGTAATGCAAGGAAAGTTAATTGCGGTCGTGTATACTATGCGTACATATTGAAACCAGTACTCTTTGGGCGGAATTTGTAAACAAGAATAGATGCATCACAGTGTTCGTTAAGTATCCGAGGAGGTTAAAAGCATTAAATTTTGATAATTTTGATAATTCACATAATAAGTTCCTTTGACCAGAATATTTCATTGATTTTTTATGTGAAAGATGGATCCCATGTCAGGCTTTGACATCCGTCTTGTGTTTACATTACCGCCCAGAGACAGTACACTGGAGTACAAAAGATGTGTACACTTCTGAAATAACTTTCCATGCATTACATTCTTGGTCCTGAGTACTTATTAACCACGCGAGTGAACTCTGATAGGATTAGAGGCTACCGGACGTGTGAAACTACTGGGACACCCAAGGTTTTTTTTTACTTTTACAAGACCCCACAATAATCTGAGAATTGTACGCTCGATAAGTTGGCTTTTATTACATTACACCAACCAAAACGATAACATCTCACATTCTTTTAAAGTACCTTTACAGTTAAAAAACATTGGGTGTATAAAAACGGACCTCAATATTCAAAACGATGCCAATTATCATCGCACCTCTGATTAATAGACCGAGAGTACCTTATACTACTATAGTTTCAGTAGAAGTAAATATTTCCATTTACTGATAGCGCTGATTAAAGGATTCATAACTCTGATTGGATAATGAGATAGATAGAAAGATAGATGTTACCGCCATACTATTTTTATTGGTTCAAAATAGACAACAAACACATGACTGAACCCTGATTGAATCAGGCGCTAATGGACTCGGCATACAGGAGTATAGTGGTGACTAAAAGCTTATAATGTTTTCCTAAAAGGGACTGTAAGTGTAATTTAAGAGACCCATCATGCAAAAAGGGCAATTCCTGAATTATAACGATACCCTTGAAACCTTTGTGTATTTGTAGAATACAGAGATATATGTGTGTAAACGTATCGAAACCCGCTTGTGTTCAACTGCAAATTTCGGTTTGGGCTGCGTACAGTTCGAAAACAGTCCCTTTAATCCTGGGAATACGAATAAAGGGAAGGGAAATGGCGCTGGTCTGGCATGAGAAAGCCAGTGGCACTGCTTTGCAGACGGTTTCGTTATTACACACGCACACCCCTTTTGGTACAGACACACAACATGATTACAGTCAAGGAAATTGCAGAACAATGTCGTTAATTATAACTAAGCTTGAATAACGACTAGTTTATTGTAAACTTGAATCAAGTTATATTTTTTGCATGAAAACTCTGCTTATAGTGTTGACTTTAATATATAAATAATATATTACATGTATATTAAACCTATTTTTAAATAAACAATTAACAATAAACAAACGTACTCTCCTAGACTGTACAAATATCGAGATTCTTATGTACTGTATATACCTACAGTACACGCCTTCGGTTCGTTATCACTTAAACACACTTTTGGCACAGACACTCATCATACATGACGTTTCCGTCCCTGCTTTAATATAGGTGGTGGTATGTATGAACAACCTTAAGAGAGTGAAGCAAGAAAAAAGGCTTCTCTTTGGTTAACCTCTACGGCCTACTCCCTTTTTCAATTTGTAAATAAGATAACATTAAAAAATCGTAAAATGTGACGCACCTCACAGTTATCTGTGTCCAATATTGCGTAGCGTAGTGTAGAGCTGTATTTCCGAATCCATCCATTCGGTTAATCAATCTTTTCATACACAACCCAACTCTATCCTAAGACCAAAAAATATCTTAAAGAGGCAGTAGACGAAATAAGGGCCCCCCTATTTCCCGAATGACCTGTCTCATTCTAAAGTGTTCACACATAAATTTCACTGTGAAGGGGATTATTCATTTGGCGTACAGTCCCGTTTTTCCTCTTATAGTCTGTATTTGTACTGTACTACTGCTTGCCCTGGCTAGTTGAAATTCGGCCCGGTACATGAAATGAACTGGAATGTAGTGTCCAGAAACAATGGAGGAAATTGTTAGAATAAAACACTTTTCAAACTATTTCAACTAGTTCAACTACTTCTTTCCATTTATTAAATCTGGTCCCTGGACATATTGAAAAAGAATTGTTCCAGCTTTATATCCAAATATTTAATTTAAAAAACATTAAAATATACGATAAAAACTTTTCTCAATCTTTCTTATAGAATAATATTCAATAAAATTAGTTTTGACTTAAAAATCTTTAGATATATTTGTTTTTAAATCTCTGTTTAACCTGTGGATTCCCGATTAGTACTTTTAAACATTTTTCAAAATCCTCTTTATTTCTGTTCTGATATTCCATTCTCAACACCCTGTAATAAAAATAGTTTATGGGAGCTATACGATTAATTTCAAGTAACTTTCCATGCAAAGATGTCAAGGCGGCCTATTCACAACGGTACCATTAAAACCCTTTAACTGATCAAGGTTATCATTATTCTAGGAAAATTGGTGAACACTTTCACATAGATTCAGTCTGCTTATAAAAAGTTTTATAAAGGATTTGAGCCTTTGCTACAAACTCAAAATTTCTAATCCCTATATCTTTGCAACCCAATGCCGTAGACCTTAGATATTTCAAACTATGAATTCTGGTAGATCAAATAATCTAAGTTTGAAATATCAAAGGTTTGCACCATCAAGTTGCTAAGATATAAGGATTAGAAAATTTGAGTTTGTGACAAAGAGTCAAGTCCTTTGTAAGGAAGTGTCGTAACGCATTAGGCTTCGATTTTACCGCTCTAAATCACTAATGCTTTTCTGCAGGCCTTTACATTTTATCGCTATAGAACACTTGTTGTTAGCTTTGGTTTATAAAAAGTAATTGGCAAAATTCTCATCGATTTTTGCATGAGAGCTTGAGACCTTTCAATCACAGTGCTTTGTTTGCACAAGCTGTTTTATATTTTTAAAATATTAATTTTCACTTTCTAGAATTTGGCAGAAAATAAATTATTTCTCTCGAATTTTATGAAACAACTTTAAATTTAAAATGTTCGGAAGTGACAGCTGTATTGAGATCACACTGTACGCAGTGTAAACCAAGTTTTACAGGAATTCGACTGATTTTCCAGAGATTTAAACACAGGCTCTCTTTATACTCTATGAACAGTAAAAGGTTTTAAGGTTACGTTGTAAATCGGGCATTGTCGTCTTTGCATGGAGGGTCACTGGAAATTAAGCTTACAGTCCCTTTCATACAGTTCACGAAACAAACCTGAAAATAAATCTTACAAAGGAACTGAGCCCTTGCTATAATCTCACTATAATGGTGCAACCCTTTGTCGTAGAACTTCAATATTCAAAACTATGAATTTTGTTAGATCAAATACTCTAAGATTGAAAAATCTAATGTTTTACCTGGATGCAAAGATATAGAGGATTGACAATTTGGAGGTGTGGAAAAAACTCAAATCCTTTAAAACTTTTACCTGTGCAGCAATGTCTCTTTTTCTTTACTTATTCCAAAATTCGCCCCAAACTTTTTGAAAATCTCCAAAACCTAAAAATCTTAGTTTTTAGAATTATTTTTTTAACTTATATAATTTTTATTCAAAATACTTTCCTTGAAATGCCCATAGAAGCCTGCTTCAAGAATACCATGGGGACAGCAATCAGGGTTTATTTTATTCTCCAAGAGAAGGCTGATATGCTCCCATAGACCCTTCTCACAAGCCAGGTAGACAACCTTCACCATATCCTGCTCACTCACCTTCCGGAAACAGCTGGAAAAAACCACAGTCATTTTTTATAAAGTCATCGTCGCCTATATAAATACAATGAGGACGACTTTCGCTTTCAATTTTGATTTATATCAAACTTTTAAACAGGATACACATATACATGGAAACAAAGAGAAGTGTCGATTAAAATAGCTTCTCTAAAATTAGTTGTAAACTTGTAATTCGAAAAAAAAGCTTGTTAACAATGAAAACTTGAATAAAAAAAGTCGTCTTTATTGCATTGATATAAACGCCGACTACTGTGAGACGAGAAACCATTTTATCCTTTTTAAATTTAGCAAATATCTACTATACCGTAATTTTTACATTTTTAGCAAGAAACCAGTAAGTTTTTATATTTTAGCTAGAAACCACTATTATAACATTTCAGATCGGACCCACGGGCTTTTTGTTCAAATAAGAAATACCACATTAGTTTTTATATATATTATAAAAACTAAAGCCTATACTGACATTAAGAACCAAGAAACGCTGAAACAAAAAGGCAACGTTTACTCTAAAAAGCCGTACAATTTACTGTACAAGAGAAATAACAATTGTAGAGTGTGCAGTGGGCAAGAAACAAAGAGAATAGAATATATATTAGAGGGGAATTTACTAGAAAAAAGTGTTAAATGGCCATTTTGTTGTACTGTTTCCATACTGCAGGTGTACTTTACATATTGGTGCTTTATATAACCTTTTGGGCCCTGGAACATCATTTTATAGAAAATCTAAAGTTATTGTCAAAAGAAAACCAAATTATGAAATAGGCTGGTTTCATTATTGACCAATGATCATTTCACATAGACTTTATGCCTTTCACTTTACAAACGATGATTTTCCGTTATAACTATAAATCAAATGATGTTTTTTATTCACCTAATTCATTTATAAAGTTTATTTAACAACTTAAAAAAATTCGAAATTAAAATCAATAGTCTAGGGAACATACTGTATTAATGTACTCTATAACTGCATATAATTTGTGAACATTTACATGATTTGTACACTTTGAACTCCCTTTCAGGCTGAAAGGGACTGACAAAATTCATACCGACGGATTTCCTAAATTCCACTCTAATATATATTCTATTCTCTTTGACAAGAAACTATTTGCTTTGTAACAACTTCACATATTGCTATGATTATAATATCTTCTTATTTCTCAGTTATCTGGTTCATACTGTATTTATAACTATAGAAATATATCATAAAATTATTAAGAATTTCGGATAAAATTCAGAATCATAATTAATCTTTTGGTTGAATCCATGCAATGACTTGAGTTACCTCATATATGTTTTAAACTGTCCAAATTGTGCTGAGTATTCAGTTGAACCCAACTCAGTGTTCTAGAAAATAACATTTACACAATTTTTGCTTTAATATGTAAGGTGCCATTATCTTATCAATCTGTCATAATTTACGTTTTATATGTAATATTCTAATTATCATGAAAACTGTCATAATTTACGTTTTTTTATGTACTATTCTAATTATGATGAAAGCTGTCATAACTTACATTTTATATGTAATATTCTAATTATCATGAAAACTGTCATAATATACGTTTTTTATGTATGAAAACTGTCATAATATACGTTTTTTATGTAATATTCTAATTATTATGAAACTGTCATAATATACGTTTTTTATGTAATATTCTAATTATCATGAAAACTGTCATAATATACGTTTTTTATGTAATATTCTAATTATTATGAAAACTGTCATAATTTACGTTTTACATGTAATATTTTATCTAATATGAAAACTATCACATACAGTGGTTGGCATTTATTTTAATACAATAAAGACGAATTTTCTATTAAGGTTTTAATTTCTAACAAGCTTTTCTAAAATTACTAAAATTACGATTATACGTTAAAAGTCTGTTAATTGACAGCTTCTCTTTGATTCCATTTCTGTGTAACCAGGCGGTAGAAATCAAGTTGAGATTAAAATTCGTCTATATTGAATTGATATACACGACGATGACGACTGTATGAAATAATCTTTAGAAAACTATGGAAACTGTCATAATTTTCACTTTTATTGGAAAACTTTTAACATTTTCATCTTACTGTCAATACTTTATACTTCAGAAATCTGCCATAATAAATTCTATACAACTGTACACTTCGAAAAACTTCCATAATCTTCAATTCAATAGTTAAAAACCGCCATATATTATATTTCATAAGGAAGCTTCGAAACTACGAAATTTTCATTGAAAAGGGAAACTTCAAAAATACCATTTAAAAAAAGAAATTGCCAAACTTTTCGTTTGATTTTTCAAAATTTCCAATAAAAATGTTGATTATAACTATAATATTAATGTTACCATAATATTAATGATAACTATGATATTAAGGATAGCTATAATATTAATGATAACTATGATATTAATGATAACTATGATATTAATGATAACTTGATATTAATGATAACTATAATATCAATGATAACTGTAATATTAATGATAACTATAATATTAATGATAATAATAACTTATGGAAATGACCACCTTCAAAAGCATGAAAATATTATCCACGACCTCCAGGTTTAAAGCTCTTGACCTCTTGACCTCTATGGGTAGCTGGAGGTCAGGTAGATCGGAGATTATATGCTGACGAATTGTTTTAGGTCCTGCTTTATGGTCAAGGTTCCCTCCATTCTCTTAAATAACGTGATTGTAAACGGTTTAGTAATCTTGTTTTATAATATTTCAATTAGTGGAAATCTATGGCGCATTGATAAAGGATCTGCAGAACATTTGCGAAAACCTCATTTCTAAACCCTATTCTCGAACATTTTTTCAATATGCCGTAATGAAAAGCCAATATTTCTATTTCAATCAGCATGTTTTTAATGGGGAACATATTGATATTCAAAAGTCAATTTGCCACAAGCTCTGATTCTATAATCTTTGACACCCGATTAGTAGACCAATTTTATATTTCAAACTATAAATTCTGATAGGTCTAATAATCTAAGTACGAGATAATAAAGGTTTACAGCATAAGTTTGCAAAGATATAAGGATTATAAAATATGGGTTTGTGGCAAAGACTCAATTCCTCTACAAGAAAAAAGCACTATGATGATGTTCCTACCAATGAGACATCTAGCGGCCTGGATATGCTTTCCTTTGACCGCCAGCAGAAGAGGGGTCACAGAACCTCGGATATCCTTCGCATCAACATCAACATCATCGTGCTAGGATAATAATAATAATAATAATAATAATAATAATAATAATAATAATGATAATTAAAATAAAGTAAAATAAAAAACTTTGCAATACAAATAATTCATGAATACTGTATAGCAGCCCAGTGGCAAGGCTGATGCACTTCCAACATTTCACCTTGGTAATACGATTTTAAAAATTTTCCTCTGTAATAATAATAGTAATAATAATAATAATAATGATAATAATAATGATATTACTTGAAGTATGAACTGTAAAGCCTGAATATTATTAATCTCTGCAGCAGTATGTAGGGGTGTATAACCACCAGTAAAAGAACTGGAAACTATGTTTATATCAACTTCAGGTCTAAATATATTCATGAAATAATTAATAATTTTGATTTCTCATTTAGCAACTGTTCAATTCTATCTGCTGCATACATCTGCAATTCACTGTGATAAAGAAACCAAACTCTAAAATTATCCATTTTCAAATTTTACTTTTTTAAGAATTAAAGGGTACCGTTGTGAACCGGAAACGGAACTCTATAATTTAAGAATTAAAGGGTACCGTAATGAACCGGAAACGGAACTCTATAATTTAAGAATTAAAGGGTACCGTTGTGAACCGGAAATGGAACTCTATAATTTAAGAATTAAAGGGTACCGTAATGAACCGGAAACGGAACTCTATAATTTAATAATTAAAGGGTACCGTTGTGAACCGGAAATGGAACTCTATAATCTAAGAATTAAAGGGTACCGTTGTGAACCGGAAATGGAACTCTTTAATCTAAGGGTCGCTTGAAAATGAAATTACAGTCCCTTTAAGTAATTACCAGATTAACATTTTTCTCCTTTTCTATTTTGTGACACATTAACGATATCAGAGCAAGTTTAAGACATTATAGATCGACCGAATCAAAAATGAGTAATTATAAAAAAATCATCTTTAATTTTTTCATCACACATGAAATGTAAGGAATAAAGAACGCAATTGTAAGCGTCAATAACGATTTAATAATTTTTAATTTTCTAATCACTATAGTTTTGAAACCTGATGGTGTAAACCTTAGATATTTTATACTGAAACTATTAGTTCTAGCAGAAATCATAGTTTAAAATATTTAAGGTTTACGACATCAAGGATATAAGGACTAGTGTTTATGGCAAGTACCATTATTTACCCCATTTTCTGGCGTTTGAACTTAACTCAAGAATTAATTGTAGTTATAAAACAATGTTCTTATTTCTTTTCAAATGAAAGATTTGTTTCTGAAATTCACAAAAAAATATTTGGTTAAAAATCTTGTTGAACCTTGATTCTATCAGAAGTTTGAGTATGTTGTTTCTATTATGTTTGACCGCTACGTGAAGAGGGGTCAACCCGCTTCCTGCTCCCACTAGGTCAATTCGAGCCCCGCAACCTAGGAGGGCTCGTAGCTCACCCAGTAGTCCATCTCTAAAGTAATGTTAAAATAATCATATATATATAATTTTACAATTATCGTTTTTATCTATATAATGTAGTAATTATTCGAATGTATCTAAATTTACTATTTTCTTATTGTAGAAAAATAATGATTCATAGATATTTGTTGCGAATAAAAAAGAATATTGCTAATTTCATTACTTAAGCATTTACATTTTCTAATGATTTTGCATCTAAGACATAACCCATAAAACTATGGAATATGAAGACGACTGTGTGAAGCAAACTTTGATTTTAAATCGTACAATAAATTTAAACTGGATGGTAAAATTATTTGCTTAATAATGCCAAATATCGTCCTCCTTGTACGCAGTTTTATGAGTCCAACTGTGGATGTATAAACTGAAAACTCTGGTTCATTTCAACCACAAACTGTTATGCAGTCTATGTACTCGGTTGTACAGTATAGATCAGGCCAGAGATGGCAGAACAGGATCGTACATGAAATTAATAATCCTTTTCTTGGGAGCTTAATGTGTTTATATACAATATACATTATACAGGGTCACCGATAAGACTGTATAGACAACGTGAAACTTTTAACATATGAAGAATCGACGATTAAAATAAGTCTTCTGCCTTGAAATTAGTCTTCTAATGGCTTATCTATGAAGTCTCATCCTTTGTAAAGAATCCTGTACCTTACAGCTATCTCCACCAGGTTGGCCCCTTCCTCGTCAACTGGCTGATTTATCCAATGGGTCAGCTCACCAGCACCATCCTCTACCTGATCAGTGTAAAGTGTAGAGTGTAGAGTGTAGAGTGTAGAGTGTAGAGTGTAGAGTGTAGAGTGTAGAGTGTAAATTGTAGAGTGTACATAAATTTACCTCTTGTGTGTTGATAAAGTCAGTAAATCCTTGTAAATCTTTCTTTTGCATGTACAGTAATGCCTTCTCCTAAAAAAACATTACGTAAACTGTACTGCATGTACAGAACATTCAATTTTAAAGTTTCTAATCAAGTTTACCTATAATATCAATTATGATTTAAAAACATGGGATGACAAAAAAAAATTTGATCAAAACCGTCAAGTTTATAAAAGGTTTCGTAAAAACGTGCATTGAAAGGAATTGAGTCTTTGCGGCAAACTTAAATTTTAAAATTCCTATAGTTTTGCAACCTGTAGGTGTAACCCGTTGATATTTTAAACGTAGTTTATTTTATCCAACATTACTTATAAAATGAAATATCTAAAGTTTACGACTTTGGGTTGAAAAATATTAGGGATTAAAAATTCAGAGTTTGTGGCAAAGACTTAACTCGAAAACTTAATAACTTCGATTTTTCAAAAGGTGATATTCTTATCTCTATATCTTTGCAACCTGAGGGTATAAACACTTGATATTTCAAAGATATATTATTCTATCTGACAGAATTCATTGCAAAGGTCTACGCACAACGTCAAGTTACGAAGATATAAAAATTAGAAAATTAGCTTTTGGGGCAAATTTTCAGAAGTTCCTTTACCTGAGGTTTACTGACGCATTTTAAACTGTCCATCCTGACGCATTCCTGTGCGTTGAACTTCCCTCCCATCCCCGCCTCATCCATTTTCAAATATCAATTTCTAAACTTTTTAATTTTGTTAACAAAAAGCGTACATAAATTACATAACTTTCACTAGAAGAGAGCCATTGATTTGGCGTACTGTCCCGTTATATTATTTGTTTATACTGTACAGCTTGCTCTAGCTGAGTAAAAGTCGGCCCGGTACTTGAAATAAACCGGAGTTTAATGTGAAACACCAGAAATGGGAATATTGTACTGACTTTTAGGTAATTTGTTAATAAATATGCCGTGGACCTCCCCCCCCCCAGCCGTGATCTATTCTAAAGGGAGTGACCAGCGATGTATGGTAGTTGAACTGAGAATTGTAGATAAATTTTTAGGATTCATTTGAGACACATAAAATGATTTAATGATGTTTAATTGTTGAGTTTGAGTGCAAAGTCGACGTTGAAAATCATCCATTTGGGTGTTTACGTTTTGAGAATTAATTAAATTATCAATTAATGATGGCAAAAAATGTAGTTTATGAAACATATTTCTTAATAGAAATTTTCTCAATAAATCAATGTCAGAATCAATTATTTCTTTTTTATCATTTTATTGAATTTCTAATTCTTTATGAAATTTTTCGCAGATTTCTTCAAATTATTCAAATGTCGTCTTTTCAATAAAAATTCCAGAAAATCTTTGTGAACAATGAGACATTACAGAAAACAATAATTGAATAAGATTACTTATTTTCGATAATAATAGTTAATTTTTATTTTCTCAACCTGTTCCTAGACATCTAATGAGTTTACTGTAAAATTTTTGTTACATTTTTCGTCGTCGTTATTGAATAACTTTTTTTAAACCGATTCTCAAAATCATCCCTGAAAAATTAACAATCTGTGAGGATTTTTAAGATTGAATTTGCGCTCTTGCTGAACAAATATGCACCGTAAAAACGTCTCATAGGTCTTAAAATTTCTCCACAATACTACATTCTCAGTTCAACTACCATACATTGCCGGTCGCTCTCTTTAACCTAACCTGATCTGAAATAATTACGGGTGGTTGCTATATTTTAGTTTTGCTCTTGGCAAGCTATGGCTATTGGCTATAGTAATTTAGTTTTGTTCTAAGCCAGACATATAGTTCTGATCTTTTGGCTAGAAATTTAGTTTTCTACTTGACCAGCCATGTTTTGTCCAGCCGTTTGGTTTTGTTCCTGGTCAGCCATTTTGTTCTGTATCCAATCACTATACCCAACTCAATGCTAGCTCTCGTAGAAATTCAAATAAATTTATCAAAATAAATTTGTTCATATTTTAATAATTTGCCGATAATTGATTTTGATTTTCCATAAAAAGAAATTATCAATGTAATTTCCGAAAAGGGAATCATGATTACTATTTTTAAAGGGAGTGACCGGCTATGTAAGGTAGTTGAACTCAGTATGCAATGTTGTGGAAAACTTCTTTCGGATTCATTTGAGACATAATAAATTTTTTAAAGATCTGTAAATCCTGAGTTTGAGCACAAATTCGACGTTCACAACTCCTAATTTGGGGGTGGATAATTAAATGGTTAGGAACATATTTCTCAAACAGAAATTTTTCAATAAATCAATTCTGAAATCGATTATTTTCGTTTTCATTATTATATTAAATTTCTAATTTTCTTTGAATTTATTCGCAGATTTCTTCAAATTCTTCAAATGTCGTCTTTTCAATAATAATTCTAAAAAATCTGCGAAAATCTTTGTGAATAATGAGAAACCAGAATAATAATAATAATTGCAAACAAGATTACTTATTTTCGATGGTAAAATTAGCTTTTATTTTCTCAACATGTTCCTAATCATGACGACTGTAGTTTATTAAAGAACTTTTTTACATTTTTTGTCGTCATTATTTAATAATTTTAAAAAAACTAATTCTGAAAACGTAGCCACCCCCAAAGTAGAGATTTGAACACTGAATTTGCGCTAAAACTCAGGATTTACAGATCTTTAAAAAGTTTAATATGTCTGAAATGAATCCGAAAGAAGTTTTCCACAACACTGCATACTCAGTTCATCTACCTTATATAGCCGGTCACTCCGTTTAATAAAAAATGTTCCCTAAAACATTTTATTTCTGAAATTTTGAAAAATCTTATACTTTTCTTTAAAGAATTTTTGTTGGATGTTGATGTGTTGTAACTTGTACAACGAGAAAATAAACCCAAAATTAAGCAAATGGCAAAATTAAAATAAATCTTTTTTTCTTCTTGAAATAGCTGATCTTCCAATTCAGTTTCTCCATCTAAGTGGCTTCCAGATTTAATGATAACGAACATAAAGAAAAGAAATTTAATCAAGTTAATCTCATTTTAAGTTAGTAAAACAGTGATATCTTTAAATGTTTTAAAAGCCACAATTTTGAATAGAGAATGTAAAGGGTCTAAGCTTGAAATTTTAATTGTATCTTTCTTGTCCAAATCCTTTTATAAACCTTAAAGAGACTTGTTAATTAGATTTTATTATTATTAGATTATATTATTCCATTACATGCTGAGAGTGAAAAGTTTATTATAATTCTAAATTGTATTCTCTAAAAGTTGGCTTTTAATTTACAATGCAAAATCTTGATGCCTGGAAGACCGAAGGATTTTCCAAATTGGGAATTATAAAAAAAACTCATTCAAGGCAGAATTGACCTATTTCAACCAATAGGTTTTTTTTTCATATAATAGTTTCAGGTGATATATAATGTCTCATCTTTTCCACTTTTATTGGATTCAAATCTATTTTTGAATTTAAAAGTTAAACATTAGCAATATAATGTTAGAATTTGGAACAATTATAGATTAAAATAAAAAAGTTTTAAGAAACTGTTTTTGTCTTCACTCTGTCCTCTTTAAATCTTTGATCCATTTACTTCTTAATGGGATTTGATTCTACTTTTAAATTTAAAACATTTAAAACAGTTAAACATTAGCAATATAATGTTAGAATTTGGAAAAACAACTACATAATTTTTATATAAACAAACTACTGTTGTCACACTCTGTACTCTTTTAATCCATAATGTTTGTACAATGTACATGTTATGTACATTCGTGTTTCGATTAAGGTTTCCAACGAGAAAGAAAAATCGCTTCGCGAAATAGGAAAATTTCGCAAAAAATATCGAACAAAATACTACGAAAATTTCACGAAAAACATAATGCGAAAAGGAATTGAGTTTTTGCCACAAACTCTGATTTTCTAACCCCGATATCTTTGTGACCCGATGTCGTAGATCTTAGATATTTCAAACTATGAATTTTGTAGTTTGAAATATCACAGGTTTACAGCATCAAATTGCAAAGATATAGGGATTAGAAAATTTGAATTTGTGGCTAGAACTCAATTCCTTTCGCGAAAAAAATAATGCGAAAAAGTACGGTTCATCTCAAAGATTATTTCTTGTAATTTGCTGGCTCATGGCTAGCTGGATTTGGGTGAACGTACGTGGACGGACAGAAAGATAGCTGGAGAAATCAAATTCTCTTCATTAAACATTCATTAAAGTAAAGGAAGAGAAATTATTAATATGATGTAATAAACCTTCAAATTTTGCAGTTAAAACACTTATTGGTTTTTACGGAATCTTTTTTTCGCTAAATTTTGCGAAAAAGTTTGCGAAATGCAATCAAAAATTTACGCATTTTTTAGCGAAACGTTTTATTCGCTAGTACAATAGCATAATAATGTGGAATTTGTAATAAATTAAAATCAAAATTTAAACAAACTTCTTTTGTATGCACAAGTTATGTACAAACGTGTTTTGATTCTATTTATGAATTTTAAACATGTCTGAAAGTTATACATGAACAATATGATGCTAGAAATTGGAAACAACAAAGCTACAAATTAAAATATAAAATTTGAACAAACATATTTTGTCTTACACTTGCTCTGTACTCATTTAATCTATGATCTATAATGTACGTAAGTGTTTTGTACAAGCGTGTTTTGAGAGAACTTAGGGTGTGGTAAAATCACAAAGTCTGTATAAACTATCCAGAGAGAGAGGTATAGTGTATATTTTATTATTGTGTACACTCTACTCTAATCTACACTACAAGGTCATCAGCTGACTCACACAAGGAGACACAAACTTTAAACAACCACCTTACACTTATTCAATATTTCAACCACCACGCCGCGCGCATGGCCGACAAAAAACAGCTGCACGGTGTACATTTACAGCGTTTACAGTATACATTGTACAATATCTAAAAATCTTTAAATTGATATTTTTAAAATCTAAAAGTTTGGTTACTTTCTCTTTAAAAGACTTTCTTTTGTCGAAACTTGGAAGTCGTTGTTACTCTTGTTACTGTTGTCACTCTTGTCACTCTTGTTACTCTTGTTACTCTTGTTACTCTTGTTACAGTTAAAAGAAAAAGTATTTTTAAATTAACACTTTATTTTTATAATACTGATGATATTTACATCAATATTTTTTACATCGTCAAATTTTGTTGAATTGGTTCACAGGTATCTTATGTTTTAACTTTTTAAAATCTTTCTTCCTTAAAAGCAGAAGCTTTAATTGTAAATTTTGTAAATTTCCCTTGAGTCCCAACTCTCATTTTTCATCCATGGTAATGGATTCTTGGATGACTGAGCTAGAGATGAAGTGGATGATGAATGACTGAACAAGCTATACCAGAGAATGTGGGATGACTGATAAAGCCATTTACAGTGATGAAGGGATGAAGGATGATATTGATACACTGTAATAGGGAGAGGATACAGTGCTAAAGGGATGAAGGATGACTCAGCTATAGTAGGGAGAGGATACAGGGTGGAAGGGATGAAGGATGATACACTATATGGAGAGGATACAGTGTTGAAGGGATGAAGGATGATACACTATAGTAGGGAGAGGATACAGTGTTGAAGGGATGAAGGATGAATCAACTATAGTAGGGAGAGGATACAGCGTGGAAGGTATGAAGGATGATATACTATATGGAAAAGATACAGTGTTGAACAGTGTTGAAGAGATGAAGGATGAATCAGCTATAGTATGGAGAGGATACAGTGTTTAAGGGATGAAGGATGACTCAGCTACAGTAGGGAGAGGATACAGTGTTGAAGGGATGAAGAATGACTGATCTATAGTAGGGAGAGGATACAGTGTTGAAGGCATAAAGGATGACTGAGCTATAGTAGGGAGAGGATACAGTGTTGAAGGGATGAAGGATGAAGATGTGAGGATTTGATGAATAGGATGAAAGCAGGGTTCAAGGCAGATCTGAAAACAAAAAGCACATTAGGAAACTAAATTTTAAAGTTTTTAATGAAAATTTTCAAAATGTTTGAAATTATAATATTTCATTTTTATGGAGGGGTGACTTTTTTATTTTGACCAGCATCATAAACTTATCGTGGGGTTATGGGGTCGATCGGTTCAGCCGTTGTAACGTTTATTTGATCCAAGCAAACAAACAAACCCAAAAAATGGGGAAATACAGCGAGAACCAGAGAAGTGTGGAATAGGAAGACGGGTTTTAGGATCAAGTTATGATTTTAAGTAGTTAGGTTAACATAACACATAGCAATTGGGCTGTGTTCACGTATTCTGTAATTTTTAAGCTATCTATAGTGATACCAAGGAACTATAATACAGAAACGCCCAACTCAGATATACGCAAATTGTGTACTGTACACTGTGGGAGGAATGTAAACAAACCCAGTGCCCCCACAGAAGTTGGCTAATACATATGATTTTTGACTGTCTGGTCTAAATGGAAAATACAACAGAAATATAATTTTATTCAACCCCTTGGGCCCTTTTCCCTCAAAAATGATGCGCTACCCCTGAATTCTTTTTTTGATCTCCTACCACTGCAGTACACGGATCTGACGCAAGAGATATGGCGGTTCCTGGTCTGTGTATTTCTTGAAAAAAACTATTTGCGTTGTAACAACCGAAATGCACTTCAATATTACTTTACTGTAAAAATAAAAATAAAAATAAACCTGATTGCTTCATCTTGTTTTAGATCTAGAATACTCCGGACTAAGGAGCTTCTCCCATCCGGTCTCTCTAGGGAGCTTCTCACATCTGGACTCTCCAGACCGGAACCATACAACCTGGAAACAGTTTTTATCCTTATTAATCTACAGAAACCCTTTTAACTGTTAAACACTTTATTTTCAAGCTGTTTTATATTACAGAAATAATAATATTTACTTTCCAGAAATTTCAGAAAATTTAAATTTATAAATTCGAATTTTCGCGCACCACATATCCCAATCCGGTCAAAGCAAATAAAGGAATTGAGTTCTTGCAACAACCTCACATTATCTAATCCCTTTATCTGTGCAACTTGACGGTGTAAACCTTTTAAATTTCAAACTCAGACTATTCAATCTAAATAAATTTATAGCTTAAAAACATCAGAGGTATACAACATCAAGTTATAAAACATGATGTTTTCTGTCTATGTAGGGTGTGCCATAAAATATGATGTTTTCTTGTTATACAGGGTGTACCATAAAACATGATGTTTTCTTGTTATACAGGGTGTACCATAAAACATGATGTTTTCTTGTTATACAGGGTGTACCATAAAACATGATGTTTTCTTGTTATACAGGGTGTACCATAAAACATGATGTTTTCTTGTTATACAGGGTGTACCATAAAACATGATGTTTTCTTGTTATACAGGGTGTACCATAAAACATGATGTTTTCTTGTTATACAGGGTGTACCATAAAACATAATGTTTTCTTGTTATACAGGGTGTGCCATAAAACATTATGTTTTCTGTTTATACAGCTTGTCCTATAAAACATGATGTTTCTTGTTATACAGGGTGTCCCACTTAACATGATATTTTCTTGTTATACAGGGTGTGCCACTAAACATGATGTTTTCTGTTTATACAGGGTGTGCCAGAACACATGATTTTTTCTTGTTATACAGGGTGTGCCACTATGATGTTTTCTGTTTATACAGCTTTTCCTATAAAACATAATGTCTCTTGTTATACAGGGTGTCCCACTTAACATGATGTTTTCTGTTTATACAGCTTGTCCTATAAAACATGATATCTCTTGTTATACAGGGTGTCCAACTAAACATAATTAATTCTTGTTAGACAGGGTGACCTAGTAAACAAAGTCTCTAATACAGAATGTCACACTAAACATGATACACTCTTTTTATACAGGGTGTACTTTTTACAAACTATCATGACAGCAATGTTTGAAATAAATACTGTTATTTATATTTAAAACATTCTAACCTGAAAATTTCATCGATTTTGTTATTTTTGTCTCTAAAGAATATCGAGGTTTGATAAAATTCCTGATCCGAGAAAACAAGATTCTGAAGATCCAGGAGAAGGTTTAGTTCTAGTTCAGCTCCTCTCCCCTTCTCCAATCCTATACAATAATACAGTATTAGTTTACTACTGGAGAAGGTTTAGTTCTAGTTCAGCTCATCTCCCTTTCTCCAATCCTATAGAATACAGTATTAGTTTACTACTGGAGTAGGTAAAGTTCTAGTTCAGCTCATCTCCTCTTCTCCAATCCTATACAATAATACAGTGTTAGTTTATTACTGGAGTAGGTTTAGTTCTAATTCAGCTCAGATTCATTTTAGACGACAAAGTAATTAATAAACATTTTCAGCGTAAAGGATTTAAGAGTGTCCTAACCCATTTACAATCGGAGCTCTACAAACATTGTGAAGTTATAATTTTGTTTAACTCTTGAAATGTCAATAATCTTTTTCTTACTCATCTCTCCTGATAAAAGCCATAAGTTAAAATTTAAAAAAAAAAACCCCGGATCAGAAGTTTTCATAATTTAATTGTGTCGAGTTATTAAAAGATTTACTGTAAAGCAGAGGATGCGTCCTAAAAAATGACAGTTCAATTAGAAAGAGAAAAATTTTCCTAATGGGAACCATTCTGTAAAATAAATTTTCAAACCAGGTCGAATTTGAAGTTTCTGCAACGCCCTGCCCCTCATACCTGACTTATTTAGAGTTTGTTGTAGCAACAGACAAGTACATTTTACGACATAAATAAGCTTATTTTTGCTTGAGCGGCTTTTAGTTGGGATTACAGTACTGAACAGTAAACTGCAAAGTTTATGTACATTGTACAATTATGTACCTGTACAGGCGAGGTAGAATAGAAATATTGCGGATTTCTCCTTGAGAAGTTTGGAATGATAAAAAGATCTGGTCCAAGATGATTTCTCTGCCAGTCCTTCTAGTCCTGGCCAACTCTCTAGACTCTGTAGGCTCTCGTCCTAAAAACAATAGTTTATTCTACAGCGTATCCCACAAAACATGATAAGTTAAAAACAACCAAGTATGCAATTATTAAATATTAGCTTTGCCTGGAGTTTCCCCATATAAAATTTAATCCACTTAACCCAAAATTCAACAGGCTAAGAACATTCCCGGGTTCTCAAAATTCCAGGCAAAAGTCCATGGGTTCATGAGTTATGATCGGACATCCAAACAAACAAACAAAGATTAGCACTGTATTGTATACATGTATATAGATAATTAAAAAAACAGGTAAAATATTTATTCACACAGTCAAATTATTTCATATACAAATAGATTTTAGTACAATAGATGGCAACATAGAATTTGTATACACTCTCAGTATAGCTGTATTCTTACGTCACAAGTGTCAACTTAGTTTTTGTGTCCGACAAAATTATAAGTAATAGTGATAGTTTTAGAATAAAGGGCTTTAAAATAAGTGCAATTTTATGCCTTCTTTACTTTCTGTTTTTACACTTTTTATTTAATCTTGGAATACATGTCAACTAATGTCAGAAAATTTCGTTTTTCTTGTTATATTTGACACGTGTGACGTCGTGTATAGTTGGTCCATTTCTCTGTTGCCACGTAATGTACTTGATAATCTATATTGTTTCATATAGAATTTTTTTCTATGCATACCCAACTGAAACACTTCATATCCGGCCATATCCAATATTATTATTATACTTGGTCGTTGTTTATATTATAATAATACAACTATTAACAGAACCAATACTTTCTNGGGGGGGGGGGAGAATATAAAAAGGAATTTCTGCACATAGGGGAAAAGTTTTAATGGTGGCTTGAAAATAAACTGAACGAAAATGGGTGTGTGTAACTACACACTGTACACTGCTCAATTGATGTTTTCCATGGTAAATTGTTCATTGGATTGCTTAAAATAAAAATTTTAGTCTAACTGTCGTCTTCCTATTCCACATTTTGTTTATTTTTTTGAATAAATAATATATATAATAATAATAATAATAATAATAATAATAATAATAATAATAATAATAATAATAATAATACAAATATAAAATAACACGATTGAAATGCAAATACAGCTTGACAAAGAAATCCTCTCGAAATGTGTTAAATGGCATCAGATTTCAATCAAGCAAAATTTATATCTTTCCCTGCTTCGAGATAATCATCAATTCCAGGGCCAAATGTGCTTGGTTTCTAACATTTTAATTTAATCACATTTTGGTCAATTATTCAACAATCTTTCAACTTACAAAGTTTTCTCGGTCTACGTTCTCAATAAGAATGGATTCCTCTTTAGAAAAAGAATAAATGAGAATTAATTAAGAAAAATAATGATGATTAAATTGTGATCGAAAGTTACAGATTACTGGGACTAGAACAGACCTTTAAAAAAAAGCATTTCTTAGGGTTTGGAAAAACATTCCATGATGACTTGAATAAGAAAAATTGGCTCACTATGTAAATTGACATTTTTGTTATCTAACAATTACATAAGAAAGTGTATAGCCTGCAAATTAAGTGCTATTCTTTAATAAAATATATCATTTTCTTGTATATATTATATTATATTTACATTAATACATCAGTTAAATTATCAATTATCAAATGTGGGAATATGATGTAGGATTTACTATAGTAAATTGTAATCTTTTTGTTTTCAAACATAACTCCTTGTGTTGAAGGAAGAGCTATTTAAAAGAATAAAAAGTGTAGAATTTCTAATAAATATGGATATTGGATAAATTAGCTGTTCTCATACTTGTGCGTAAAATCAAAAGTAGATGAGCTACAAGGTTACAAAGTCATTGCAGAGTACATTTTTACATTAACCTTTCATAAAGAATGAAATATCTATACTAGGAACCCCTTCAACTGTATCTACAGAGCTGAAAACTTTAGAATGGGGGATATCGAGATCGATGCTTGATCTCCTCTTTTTCTTTATCTCCTGATTAAATATTGCTTNGGTTTGGATAAAAGTACGATTTCATCTGTTCCTTGAATTCTGTTAATGTTGATCCTGAACAAACACTGTTAACCGAACCCAAGGGTACAATATGACCTTCAAGATATGGTCCGGGTAGAAGGGGAGGGGGGCTTATCTTTCACACCGAGATTAGTGCTGCAGACGGGGAGATAACTCCTGAGTATATATATATTACATACAGGAGACAGAACAGAGATGTCAATTAAACAATTCCTGACTCCATTAGACAGAAGTTCAAATCTAAGAAAAATTACTGCTACGATTTTTGTAACCTTGTTGCTCCATTTGGGTTGATTTTACGCACAAGTATGATTATGAACAAATTCCTCATTTAATTTATTAAATTTTAGAAATTCAAAACATTTTTGTTATATAAAACAAGATATAATAAAAATGTGAGATTTTTAATTATCGTGAAATTTACTTAAATTTGACGTTGTCAAGAAGGGGGGGGGGCACGAACCCGCTGGTTGTGCATTTTTTTGTTGTAAAAATGATAAAAATACAATTAATGGTTGGCACATATTTTCTAATTTGATACATCATATCATATGCAACAATTATATTAAAAATTCTTTAACATCATTTTAAAAATGTCATGCAATTTAATAATATGAAATCAGAAAATATAAATGAAAATTTTTTATTATTCTGTGTCTAAATATTGAATATGACTTGAAAATATTGTTTTTTTTTAGGATTGAAATTGCCGTGCAGAATTTTTATATAGATATTTACATTAATAAATATAACCATAGTTTTATTGAGAAATATTTAAATTTTGTTCAATTATTAACATTTTAACATATTAAAATACGATTTACAATGTTATAAGAACTCTTTGTTAAAACAACTTTACTAGCAAAAATAACAGTGAAATGGTAATGTATACAGGCCACAGATTTTTAGGAAAGTGTGCACGACAGAAGTCTTTAAAATTAACAGGGGAACCTCCAAAAATGTTTTCTGAAAAAAAGTTTTCGGAAATTAAGTCTGAAAATTTAGCACTAATAAAGTGCTTTAAATAAATTATCTTTAGATAAAGTTTTATCATTTTGTGACTTTATTATCCAGGCCTATAATTTTCTGGTTCCAGTATTTTATATAGAAAGGTCCTGGGAAAAAAGTGCTGTAAAAGGTGGAAATGATAATTACTGTTTTTCTGTTTTTTCTTCTGATACATTCTCTTCAAAATTAAAATTTTTGTGATATTGTAGAATGTAGACATAAAGATAAATTCGAATATTAAAAAGTAGGAAATCAAGATTTATGTTGATATTTTTTATTGTTATCGTTGGTGGGGTGNATGAAGTTTAAAAAGTGAAGAAGTTTTAGCATTTTTCTTTTGTTTATATCCCCTTCCCAAATCGTGATATAGGGTTAACATAAAACAAATAATAATTAAATTATTTAAAATCTAATTGGTTTTGAGGGGGGAGCTTAGGGTTTAAATGTCTCTCTCTTTCTCTCTGCTACAGGTCAACTTGGGTCTATCCACCACGCAACTACAGCATAACCAGCCGCCAGGGTCTTATGGTCAGCTGACTAAGCCGTACTGACACGGCCAGTTATCAGCTGATTTTTATCATCAGCTGATTTTGACAACCATTTTTAAAGATTGTAAATATTTGGAGGAATATATACAAATATATTTCTGATGAATCAATAAAATCAATAGATGTATGCTGCCACAAAATCAAAATGGGGTTATTTCATGTTCAAACCTTTGCCACACATGCCCAATTAAAAACACGAGACCAATAGTTCTCCTTAAATCTATTTACTTGAAATGTTTTGTTACCATTATTGAAATTAGGTGTAAAAAATAATCAAAACAGCCAAGAGCTATTTCATTAAATGTGGAACTAACATCTACTTTTTTACTCTACAAAGGTTTGGTCCATCACTATCACTGAATTTTAAAGCTATTTTATGATAATTGCGCAAAATAAACACCACGCTATTGCGCACAATTCTGTGGAAGTTTCGTTGCGTATTGAAACTCCATGTCCCGGTTAAATTGATAATTTCTTGGTTAAAATTGAGATTGTTGTGATACCAATTCAAGTTGTCAACAAAACAACTATTGCTTGATTAAATCTTTCTAAATTTATTAAGAAATCAACAAAATAAATTTTTCTTCATATGAGCTAAATACTCGCCACTCTGATTTTACAATCCATACATCTCTGAAACTTTATATTTTAAACCTAGACTTTTGACCTAACAACAGAATTCATAGTTTGAAAATATCAAAGGTTTAGGCAAGAACTGTGGCAAAGATATTGGGATTAGAAAATTAGAATTTGCGACGAGTGTTCAGTTCCTTTCAAAAACATAAAAGCCTTTGATATTCAATACAATATAATCAAAAATAAAAAATTAAAATTATTTGATGAGTATGTTTAAAATTATTCCCAACTGATTATGTTAAATGAAATTATGTCTTTTTTTCAACTAAAAATTCGCAGTCCACTGTGATATAAAGGTTGCAAGCTCTCATGCTATTAGAATTTTTCAATCAATTTTTAAATACTATAGAAGAAAACAAGTCTAAAATGTAAAAATGTACATGTTTAGGGCTACAAAAAGTAAAAGTGAGTTATAGTGAGGTATACATCAAATGCCAAGGCGTTGCAGCACTTCAAAGTCAAGCAAGTTTTTATAGCAGTCTGGAGACATGTATAATAGAAGAAATGTGGATATTAAATGAAAAAATAGTAAAAATTTTAAACTTTCATTTCATAGATGAAAAAAGTGGATCATATCGAACCACATTGTGTCTTAAGTTTTTTTTTGCAATTTTCTATTACTAAATGTTTTTTTTTTGTTAACTTTGGCTATGAAATATTTCTTCAACATTTGAAATTGTTTGTAATTTTTATAATTCCAAATGTTTATGTCTGCTTGATGGCTATTGACTATTGACTACAGCTATATTTTTAATTTATATATGTGATAGAAATTTCCTTTCAAAGAAAACAACATGAGACAATTTAGATAATAAATAAAATATAAATGAATAAATAAATAAATAGATAAATAAATGGATAGTTAAATATATATCCATATATAAATGAAAAAGAAATTTCTGTTTGTCTGTTTGTTTGTATGTCCGATCATAACTCCGGAACCATATGACTAATTTGCCTCAAATTTTTATTGGGGAACACGGCAGAACCACGGGAATTTTCTTAGCTTGGTTTTGAGATTTTAAGTTGAGTGGGTCAACTTTTATAGGGGCAAAAATAGCTGAATACCGACCAAGCCCGGTTAAACGCATGGGAGTAACAATGAGAAACTTTGGCAACGCTGGGTCCCAAGCTAGTATATATATAAATACTAGCCTTATAGGGCGCTTCGCGCCCATCTTCTAAATTAATTGTGAACATGTTCTCTTTGTGTACATTCACTAACAATATCAATATATATATATATATAGAATAGATGCATAAATGTGAGAGTTCGGTGATTATAAATTCATTAATGAATGTATATATTTAATGAAGTATAAACTGTCTATAGATGATTTTCAACTTTTGAAAGTTAATAAGATAAAATTGATAATATTCATTAATTACTGTTTATCTTATTTTAACAGTATATTATCTAATATCTATATAGTTTTATTGACTTTATCAGCAAATATAAAACAAATATAATATATATATATCTAATATATAAAACATTGTAATATTTTATACTGTAAGAAAAACAATAACAATTTGATTGAAATATCAAACTATACCAAAAACATTTCTAAATTACGAATTTTTATTTCGAAATTATGAAGAGACCGTTATCAATATTCAGAAACCAAACTCTAATAACCCTAGTATTCTGATAGTAATCTAGAACAGGTACCATTGATATATCGTCGTCTGACTCTAAAAGTGTTTAATTTCTCCATTATTTCTTTAATATAAAAATGCGCAGACTGCTTTTGCAGAGAAACAGTTTAAATTAACAAAAACATGGATATCTTATTCATTATTGCTCAGACAAAGCTTTCAAGGGTAGCCAGGGTAGCAAGGGTAGCATTTACATGAGATCCCTTTAATGGATAAGAAATAACATTTCGATTAAGAAAATAAATAACATAACCTATTTTGAATATTTATTTAATGTTTTCGACTTTTAAAAATTTTGTAAAAAGTAAATGCATCTGTGGATATTATAGAAGAATTTAAAAATAGCATAAACAGCTGGAGTTTTAGACAGATAGACTGATAGACAGATAGACAGATGTGATATATACGATATTGCTCTTTCTCCCCCCCCCCTTTCTTTTAAATTCTCCGATTTTCATTCTTTAAAGAACTTTGAATTACGTAGGGGTACGAATAACCAATAATTAGAGAATGAAATATCTACAGAAAACTCTAGAATCGGAAGTCGACTTTAAGACTCATTTGATGACTTCAATATAGTCCAATTAACATGGGGCACAGCAATTGTGCAGTGTAAACAGACCCATTTCACTTAGTAAGTGATTTAATAACTTACTCGTTCAGTTTTTGCCATTGTATTTGTATAACACCATCAAATTCACTTTAGTATTGCTTAAATGTCATCTTTCTATTCTACAGTTTTCTGCCTTAAAGCATTTAATGACACCAAACAAATTTGGATTAAAATAAATCAATGGAAAATACAGAAAAATTGTTAATTCATTTTGTCAATATGAGGCTTACTTTTGAAGTTTTGTTCTTAAACAATAGACAAATATGTAATGTTTCTATAGAACTTGTATATTTAATCTGAGGGGTCGATGGGGCAGGGTACACAAACGGCTCCCTGCTTTGCCTGAATTCATTGAGTGCATAGGTCGCCGATAATCTAATTTTATACAAAACTATTGTGATTGTATGACAAAAAAGTCTATTCAAATTTTCATGCAGTTTTAATGAAGCAGAAATTGACTCGTCAAGGCATTCCATTCTTGAATTACAGGCATTAAACATAATATTAATTATTCACAAGATGGGGTGGGGCCGAAATTGCAGTTTTTGAAAAAAATATGTTCTTTGGCCTAACAGAGCAAAATTGAAATACATTTAAATTAAAATATATGTCAACTAATAATTTTTAATGTTTTAACATTGCTAATTGTATGTCTAACATGGGTAAAATGGTTAAAACTTTAGTGGTCGAGTCCGCCCAATGCAAGAGTCAGCTCCATGCAGGACACCGGCCTTAATTTTACCCATGTCACAGCAAATATAATATATATGGGTGAAAAGAGAAAGGTGGGTGGGGTGACGGGAAGTGGGTATAAATAATAATTAATAAAAAAGATATGATAATTACCATTCGAAATCATGCCTCCCCACATCATTGTGCGCTAGCTGCTCGAGATATTTTTTTGGATGAAAAGATGATATTTTTGACAGTTAGAAAATGAAATGAAAATATCATCATTATATTCTGATTCATGACGTTAATTAATTGTTTCAATGAAATTGAAAATTCCGCAATTTTACTTCCAGAAAATCCGCAATAATATTTTTTAAATATCTCACTGCGCAGTTAGTTATAGTTTAGAGACATGTTCATTTCACAGTAACACAATTAAACTTTTAAGTTTAACGTCATTACACATGATTGTCAAAAAAATTGTCAAAAAATCAATTTGAAAACTCTTCAAATTGGAGCGACTGCGAGTGCATATTAGAATGAAATTTCTATTGGATTTGCATGAGTCGAACTAATTAGAAAGAAATTATAAAAGTTTTAATTTTCTCCGTGAACTGAAGATCATGTGAATTTTATTATTTCATCGTTACTTTTTATAATAAACTCATTTTGGAAATTGGAGAGCGTACCCATACCCAATGAATATCTGACATAAGACGGGAAAGATGTGAAATTGCGCCAAAACCTTCCTAAAGCCCGCGTAACATCAAGCCAAAATCCAAGCCGTGTTTCGCGCCTTTTCCAACCGACGAGAATTTAAACTTATGAGGATGCCGGGGGGGAGGGGAAGGCAGGCAGACGGGGGGCGGGGGGAATATTGAGTCGGTCCGTCTCAACTCCCGCCACGGAAACCAGTTTT